GATTGTTCATGTTGGGTTATGATCATTGTTTATGCTTTGCCTTATCCGCCTTATCTGTTGTGAACTGCATATGCTCGTTATAACTGTGCTTGTGTCTGGCCTTATCTGTCGAGTCATTCCCGGTTTTAAAGCTAGAGTTCGTAGGATATATCTTCATGCTCAAAATTGTTTTCGTATATCTATATATATCTCTATATGTATTGTATTTCAACGCGTTGGAGTGGGTTACCAGCATCTCTCGCTGAACAGATATATTTGGCTTTCAGGCACAGAAGATTAAGTCACTGGAGCGCGCTAGAACTTGGAGTATAGAAGTAGATAGTTTTCCCTTTTGGCCTGCGTGCCACGTTTACGTAATTACGCTTTGAGGATATTAGTTAGTTAGCCTGTGCACTTGGCTTCTCTAGCCCAGGTGTGGCATAGCACCCCGTACGCTTGTATTTATTTCTTGGGATTTAATGAGATTCTACCTTTATTATAAGTTTTAAAAAGTCTTGAAAATCTGGGGTGTTACAGTAGTCGCGAAGTTTAGTTGAAATTCATTGGCCGCTTGTTTCACGTCACAGTATAGCGTTAAAGTAGAAATGTTGAGCATGAGGTAGTTGGTAAAAACAAAAGGAATTACACATAATAAATAAGTAAAGTAACAATGGTGCGAATTAAAAAAAAAAAGATGTTGATTTTACTCATAATCATCGAACGCAATGTGGTATATATAGGCCAAAAAAAGGAAGTATTCAATTAAATGTGTAGGCCCTATAAAGTACTGTTGCGTAAAACACAATTAGGCCTTGCGTTTTTATGTGAAACGCAAGTCCCAGCTGCGTTATACTGATGGCGTGCGAATGGGTTGTCAGCAGTGATGGGTTGTAAGTAGTGATGGGTTGTCATGTCAGTGATGGCCCAATAAAGCAGCTTAAAACGCAAGTGGGCCTTGCGTTTTTATATGAAACGCAAGTCCCAATTGCGTTTTACTGCCTGCAAATGGGTATGGGTTGTCTGCGGGCATGGGTTGTCATGTCAGTGATGGGTTGTCATCATGTCATGGGGGAAAATGCAAGTCGTAAATGCGTTATCTGCACCATAAAAACGCAAATTTTAATTGCGTTTTTATTTTTGTTTTGGATGTTTGTTATTATTTGTTTTTTAATTTTGCAGATCGGAGCATTTACACCGTCGGCGCGTAGCAACACCCCCGATGTTGTTATAATCTGTTGTCAAAACCAAAAATTAAAAATTTGGCGACATCAAATGTTTACGGAAACGCATACAAATGTTTATTGGAACAATATATATATATATATATATATATATATATATATATATATATATATATATACATGTAAATTTATTTTGAAAGTAGTTGTTTAAAATCTTCAACGATTGAATGGATTCTGATGACATGATCGTTATTCGCACGTTCTAGTTCATCTTCCATACGACGTAAAATTTCGGCATTGGATAATTTGTTTGTATTTGTTGGCGTTGCATTTGAAGTTGAACCTGCAGTTGTAGTGTTCGGGTGGAAATCATGTAGATGTTTAGCCGTATAATTGTTGAATGCACGAACGGTGTCTTCTTTGGAGGTAAATGATTTGTATAAATTATCGCTATAGCGATGTACTTGCGTTTTGGCATCCTCCCAGTTGTCATAGATCCCTGGTTGCCGACCGACAAACACCACATATGTCTTTCCCTAGTAATAAACATAAATTTATCCACATAGGTGTAATGCAAAGAAGAGGTAAAGCTAAGGAAAAATGCATACCATTGAATGTCCTTGGAAGAAGGTTGTTAAATGCTACCGTTGCGAATTAGTAGAGTGAAAAGTGCATGAATGATTTTGTGGGTATTTATAGGCACAGAACAATTTATTTCATTGTAGTCAGTTGTACTTCACAAAAAAAATTACAACCAGTTGATGGCAATTGTTAATGGAGGTGTACATTTTGAATTGCAGCGATTATAACATTATAAAAACAACATTGTAATAAAATTGACAGAACAGAATTTGATACAAGAATGAATTGGATATACACCAAAATATTTTGGTGTATTTTTCCAGAGAACAAGCTGAAACGGAACCCGAGGTGCAACCCGAGGGCGTACATGCACCCAAGAAAAGAACAGCTGTGAGGAGAGGAGTGGAGTAGGATTCGAAGATTTGAGAATCTGTCTCCAACTTCATGTGGCGGCCGATGAATTTGTTTCAGAGGGGAGGCATTGGCCGCTTTCTTTTCCTAACTGTTCCTTCGGTTACGGGGTTACGTTCCAGCACCATACCAATCACCATTCGCGAAATTTAGTTGAAACTCACTTAAAGTCCAACTCAACTTCACTGTCGTATAACAGTAATAGTAAATTGAGGTCGAAAAATTGAAAAGTAGAATTTCGAACTGACAAATAAAAAAAAATTGAAAACATGTTCGTATCAAACATATTAGTGTAATGTAGACGAAAGATAGTTGAGTGTGTATGTGAACTAAAATGAAATGATTCAAAATATTTATAGGCAAACATATATAAAACGACAAACCAAATAGATGTATGTATATATCTACATATATATATATAGTACATTATATATATAGTACATTATATATATATATATATATATATATATATATATATATATATATATATATATATATATATATATATAATGTACACATACGGAGTAATATAATGGACAGCCCACATGGGGCTGTCCATTATCACATGGGCTGTCAGCAAAGCTGACAGCCCATGTAATACTAAAGCTGTCACGTGAGTGATAGCCTTGGAGACAGCCACATGGGCTGTCAATTTCTGACAAGCCCACGTGGCTGTCAACTTGTTGACAGCCCAAGTGGGCTGTCAACAAAGTGACAAGGCCATGTGGCCTTGTCACTTGTCGGGCAGCTCCCTAGGGCTGTCACAATCCTGACAAGCCTCATGGGCTTGTCAGGGCGTGAAACGACGAGACCCAAGTGAATGGGTCTCGTAGTTTTTATTTTATTTGTGTTCATCTGGTGAGCAATTTTCGCGGTTGTTTTTTGACAGTTTAACGTGTGTTGTTTTGTTGGTGAAAGTTGTGCCTTTCACAATTGTATTTTGTTATTTTTGAAGACAATTCAGGTAAGGCACACTAAATAATTGTGTATAAGAATTTTATCATTGTTTTGTCTATATAATTTTTTGTTCATTTGTTATTTATTGTTTTCAGGTTATTCATTACCAAATGGAAGGTATGGAGGTGTAACGAATTTTATATGTTCGATAAATTTTTTGGTATTACATTTTTTTTTTTTTGTAGGTACGAACGTTCCGGTTTTGTTATGTTCTTCAACTACACATGATTGTACGGATGATATTGACTTCAATATTACTCCACAAAATGTGTTGTTTGTGTCTAAAACAAGTTCATTTGAGGAACTAGTGGCGGGGGTGAATAATTGTCTCCAAATTCGTGGTGAATATGAGATTGTTAAAGTCTGGGGTAAATTTCAGCAAAATCCACTTCATGATGGCGGCATTGTTTTTCCGTTTCCAATTAATAATAATCAGTCATGGTTATATTTTTTGGGTGCAACGTCTACGTTTTCCGTACCGTTAGTACTTTTTGTTAAACGCCAAACGGTCTCGTCCTCCACTATGAATGTAAGCGTTGGTCGCAGTGATGGTGCTTTGGACTTGTTCCCATGTCGAATGTCGTTGGATCCACTACCGGGGTCTAGAGGGCATACTGATATTGGAGTGGCATCGGGGTCAACGTTGGCCCAACAACCAGTGGTTCGTGATTTCCAACATGTCGTAGGCGAAAGCGGTGGTTTTACCGAGACCAATAGCGAGGATGATTATGGTTTTTGGGAATCTTCTGGGGACGATGATGATGATTACGATCCTTCTGATGATTTGTGTGGTAGTCCTCCTGAACAATTAATCGTTGCATCAGCTTCCACGCCAACGGCGGGTGCGAGTTTTTATGATGACGATGAAGCGTATGATCATGGTGTTCCACATGGAACATCGTCCCTACATCCTGGCATGGTATTCGACAGCTACGCACTGCTCAAGGCAATGGTGGCCCACCATAATCTACGTACGCATAGACATTTCACGACGTTGTGCAAAAGGGCGAATTATTGGAAGGCGGGATGTTTGTATCCCCAACAGTGTAAGTGGATGATTTCAGCCGGCCAGATTTCCAACACGGAAAAGTGGAAAGTCAAAAAGTATCAAGCGGAGCACACATGTCGGGTTGATTATACGAAAGGGGGAGCGGACTACAACCTAACGAGCAGGGTCATAGCCGATTACATTCTATCTAAAATTGAAGGGGATCCCCAATACAAGATAAAATATATTATCAATGATGTTCTTGGACACTGGGGTGTGCGCGTTGGGTACAAGAAGGCGTGGTATGCCAAGGTTCTTGCGTTGGAGAAGTTGTACGGAAAGTGGGATGAGTCGTACAATATAATGCCAAAACTTCTTTTGGCTGTACAACAAACGAACCCCGGATCTGTTGTTGATTTTGAATCAGTGTCCACACCGACAACGCATGAGTTTGCATTCAAGTACGCATTTTGGGCATTTAAGCCCGCTTTGGACGGGTTTAAATATTGCTTGCCCATTCTTACCATTGACGGTACGCATCTTTACGGGAAGTATGGAGGCCATCTATTGCTGGCGGTTGGCTACAATGCTAACAAAGAGATCTATCAGGTTGCGTACTCGGTAGTTGACGCTGAGACCGGGGATAGTTGGACGTGGTTCCTTAAATTGTTAGCAACACATGTGTTTGGGGATCGCGAGCACATATGCATTATATCTACCGTCACCTCGGGATTGACGCGGCATTTCGCACCGTTGACGAATTGCGCGAGCCAATGGTACAACGACGATACTGTCTCCGGCATCTACGGTCCAATGTAATGATGAAATTCAAAAACAAAGAATTAAACAGTTTGGTTTGGCAAGCGGGGTGTGCACCTGATGAGAGGGGTTTTAATTCGACAATGCGCACAATTCGGGCTGTTGATGAGGCGGCATACAATTATCTGAACGAGATACCGCCGCGGTTTTGGACCCTTAGCCACAATGGTGGTTTTAGACATGGTCTAATGACAACTAACAATTCGGAATCTTTCAACAACACTTTGAAAGGTGTTCGATTCCTTCCCGTCTCGGCCATTGTTAAGGTCACGTTAGAGAAATTTGCGTTGCAGTTTGCGGATAGGCGAACAAAGGGATTGATGATGCGTCAAGCCGGGTTGCAATGGCCAAGGAAAATTTTAGACGAAATGTTGGAAAGGGATACATACAAGTTTCGCGCAAAAGTTAAACGACACGATGGCGTTGAGGGGGTCTACGCAATTGCAATAGAAGGCGTTGTAACTCCTTCGGGAAGGCCAAAGTTCGAAACCATTAACATGCATGCGGGTTACTGTAGTTGCGGTCAATGGGCTGTTGATGGATTACCGTGTGTGCACGCTCATGCCGCTTCCCATTATGTGGGTAGAGTCCCTGATGGTATGGTTCCGGAAAAATATTCCCTTGAAAATTATATAAAATGCTACGAAGGAACAATAATGCCTCTGTTCTCTGACGAGTATTGGCTTTTGATACCTTACACCGTGTTGCCACCGCAAGGTGTTCCCCAAAGACGGGGTAGGTGTCCTAGTCGAAGAATTCCAAACGAAATGGATCTGCAAGGAAGAAGATGTGGCATTTGCCGATCAGCCAATCATGATGTCAGAAAATGTATTCATGTATCAAGCGATGGTCGTGAATAGGAATGTCACGCTCCACGATACCATTTTTATTGTGGTGTTTATTGTCTCCGTTCGAAATTTTCGGTTACTGTAGTGGAATGGTTTTGGTTTTTTTTTTTTTTTTTTTTTGGTGGCCTATTAATTGGCCCACGAATGCCTTTAGTGTCATTTACATTTTTATATATATTGTTTTTATGTGTGCTTAACGCATTACTTTTATTATTAACTGTACATTTTCAACACTTTCCAAGTCCCAAGGTGGGTGTCACGGATGACACCCTAAATAATGTGACAGCCCATTGACTGTCATTAATAATGGTGACTGCACGCAGATGTGACAGCAAGTACTTGCTATCACATCATAATATATAATAAATGAAATAGATTAAATTTTTACTTTCCTGTTTTTCACCTACCGTTCTCAATATTTTGTAGGGGTATTGGTAAAGAATAGGCGCGTTACGGTAATAAACCACGGTGATAAACCAACAGTATATAATTAATATTTTTGGTCCGAAATTTTTCAATACATTTACGTTCCACATGGGGGGCGCCTGGTATTGCGAGATGGCCTTCGGCGTTCGTACTGTACGAGTGTTGCATCGTTGTGTTGGGTAGGGTTAACCACTTGAGATTGATCGACCCGTTCGTCAGCCTTAAACAACTCATGTATGGAAGGATGGTGAAATGGCGTGTTAGACACCGCGCGAGAAGAGCTGGGCATTTCACGATCGGCGTGTACAGGCATTTCATGGGACGATTCTCCGAGCTCAGAATAGGGCAATGGCATATATGGAGTAAGCATCCTGTTAGGGGAATGTGGTATGGGAAATTGTTGTACTTGAAGTTGTGTGTTGTCGCCCATATATTGGTTTCCAAAAACATTTTCCTCTTCTGCGCCTTGTCCATGTTCTTCAGGTTCCTCATCGGGGACATCATCGGCGTTGTAGTTCATCGGGGGAACCTGCTGACGACGATGACCACCCTGAGCTTGACGGCCCCGCCTGTTAACGTCTCTTCGTCTGTCAGCGTGTCGCACTTGCTGAAAAGGCTGGTAATATATATCTTCGTAATTCTCCGGCCGAGGAAAATCCATCAGGTAGCCGTAGTTGAGCCAATTCAGTTCTGCGCACGCTGTTTCTTGTATTTCATGCATAAATTCCCCGGTCTCTCCCCGCTCCTCCGCCATTTCACCACAAATGTGGATGTGCCACAAAGCTTCAACCTACGAATATTATCAATAATTTGGTAATAAAGTGAAAAACATGAACTCCAAAAATTATAAAATATTATGGGAGATAATTCGGGTGTCACCGTCGCCGCGTATGACGGTGATGTGTGAATGTATCCTTCCGTATGGTGATGTTCAGGATTTCCAATCAAACGCCTCCCGACCCGGTAGAACCATTGCTCGTAGGCCAAACTACAATATGGACCTAACGGGGCATGTGGGGAAATTGCAATCACGTTGTTGTAACGATCCTCCCAAACTGCAACATGTAGTTGGTGGTGAGTTTGCCAATCACTAATCTTGGACCGCCCATCCAATTTGTGCAAATTGGGATTGTACACAACATGGTCCGGGATGTCTTGGTACCCGCCAAACTTCCTGATAACCCTATCTGGATAATGCCACTCGACGGCAAAAAAAAATATTAACGGCACACGGGCTGTCCAAATGTGCTGTCCGGCGCGAGAACAGAGTGGCAACGTGTCTACATTGTACAGCATCCAAACAAACTACAAAATTCGAAAAAATTTAAATAAATAATACGTACGGTGAATTGTGTGTGTGTGTGTGTGTGTATATATATATATATATATATATATATATATATATATATATATATATATATTCCATTGCCATACGTTATCAGTTTGACATCTGTCAAATAAATCCCGGTATATCCTGAAAGTGTGTGTTGATGTAAAGGTCCACGTGTGTCGACAATGCCACCTACAGTCCAAAATTGTAGTTAGTATATCTTTTAGTTTTTTTTTTTTTTTTTTTAAAATCGATAAAATGCATACCGTGCACCATAAGGTCTGTCGTTTAGGTTGATGGCTAGAATAACGTTACATGGGCGTGTACATGGCAAACGCTCCCATGCCCACAACTGCAACAACGTTAGGCAACCCCCAGCAATAGAATTCCCAAAATTAGACGCCCGGCACAGTGATCTGTATAGGAAAGCAAGCACTGCCGATCCCCAACTATATTGCCCGGCAGTAGAAAGGTCTTCTAACATATCTAGTAGATATAATTTAATTTTATTTCTAGTAGTTTCCGGAAATAACACCCCACCCATAAATAACAAAATTATGCCGCGCACATATTGGTGTAACTCTTCATCAGTTGCCTGATCTATGTTTATGGCAGCGACGTGTTCTTCTAAAACGACCTTATTTATAAGGGTACCAGAGAAAGCATCCTCGTTCAGTGGAGTGAAGCCTAAAAACTGTTGAATTTGGAAAAAACGCTCAGGTATAGTTCGTTCAGTATTACCAACTACTGCCCTACCATCAACTTTTAGTCCCAATAGGACCTCCACATCCTGTAGGGTAATCGATACCTCCCCAAATGGCATATGGAACGCATGTACCTCGGGCCGCCACCTCTCGATTAATGCACTGATGAGGTGGTGGTCGAGTTTCAAGTTTCCAAAACGTGTCATTATTGGGAAAAAACCAGCTTCCCGTAGCAAATTCTCAACGCGATTATTGAGCCGAATGTTCCTAAAAACAGCACCCGCATTGCGCACACATGACAATAGCGCTGGGTACGCCAGATTTTGCCATACCGACTCTGACCGATGCAATTCTTGGTAGGTTAACAACGCGGGATCAATTGGACCCGGATGTAGATAATTTTGCCTCATTGTTTTACTAAGGTATTTAAATTTCAGGCTTTAGGGTTTACAGTGCGTAGAAGAAGAGACTTCTGGTTAAAGTTTGCTACATGTAAAATGGAACTATATTTATATATGCACCAAAAATTCAGATTTTAATTGCTAACTGACGTGACCATTAAAAATGTCAAGTCAGTAAGCAAGTTCATATTGGGCGCGGCAAAGCTGGTCATGCCGCCCAATGGACACGGCATAGAGTGCCGTGTTGACTGACACGCTGCGTCAGTCAACACGGCAGTCTATGCCGCTGACTGACGCAGCGAATGACGTGCTGCGTCAGTCGACGTGACCAGACGCTGACAACAGCGCTGGTCACAGTCACGTCGAATAGCGTGACTTAGGTCACGCTATTCCACTAATTCTTTTTTGTTTTTTTTTTCAACTCAACAACAATTAATTTTTTTTTTTGTCACGCATTTAGTTACGAATTAAAAATTGTAAAATCAAGTCATATAATAAATTAACGCATTAAACATCATAAAAGTTGATTTATTAATCGATTATAATTTTACATAGAATGACGTAGGTACAGTATATGATACAACTCGACGGACATATGTTTTTTTCCAAATTACATTTTTCCACTAATCTAATTTACCGATTACGAACTTGTACTCCATATGTTTCGTTGACAGCTGTCATATGATATATGTTATTAGCAAGCAACAAGCAAGCAATTGACCCCCTGCTTATTTGCTAATAAGTTTAATTTCTCGCGACATATTGACTACACAGTAAAATATGTCGCGAGAATTAAATGGGACCCATTCTTCATTCGCGAGAGTTAAATGAGACTCAAATCACGTACTGTGTACCTACAAAGAATACCAAACACATGACCACCAAGAAATACTAACAAACATTAATGCACACAAAAGACTTTGAATTTGTCTACTAACCATGTAAAAGTTTTGTTTTGCGTTGAGGGGGTTGGAATATGAAGAAGCTGAAGTGCTTGCTACCTATGTGATTTGAATTTCGAAAAAGTGCCATCAACAACGGGAAACCCTACGGCAATGCTATTCAACTTATGATGGAGTGTTTGCTCTCACTAACTTATAGGGGTGTCATGCAAAACGCAAGTGGGGGCTGCGTTTTTTATTCTTCCTCGGGAAACTCAAATAAAACTAAAATCACATCCGTGTTTTGGTAGTAATTTTTTAACTGGTTTATATCTTTTCCTTTAATTTTTAACTGTCACACCGGGAACATTTTAAAATGTGGAAAATTGGATGTATAATAACAAATATTACATAATTTATATATATACTGACGTAGAAGTGGGATCCTTTTATACAAGTCAATCAGTGTTTGGGTTCAGTTGTGACTATCAAGAAATAAAAGAAAAATATTACATAAAACATGACATCTCATCAACACACCCGTACTTTGTCGGACTTATACAGCTACTGACATTACACAGTACGTCGAACAATATAATATAATGGAAAAAATGTCTACATAAATATGTAATGGGTTCAGTTGTGACTACAATTGACACCCATTTCCAAATTTTATAAATATGAATACTGGCTAGGATAATTGGTGCAAAAGAAGACCGAACAATCTAACCAGCATCATTTACAGTTAAATTTATTTAATTATAATTTCGAGACAATTTTCCAATTTAACAATTGAATTATGTCGCGAAATTTAGTTGAAATTCGTCAACACATCGCGAGAATTAATTGAGGCCCATTGAAATGCAGCTCCGGCATGGAATTATCGCTACAAAATATAACAAAAACATTTTGGACATTAACTAAAAATAATAGACAATATACGTTTATATATATATATATATATATATATATATATATATATATATATATATATATATATATATATATATACATAAACAACATTCTTACCGTAAATTTGTTTCTTTTTTCCTTGTACATAGTAGATACAACCCATAACACTAACTTTAACATCTTTTCGTCTTCTTTTTTGTGGGTGTTTGGCATACTGTACGTACATTTCCACCTCAGTGTTAAAAAAATATAGGCAACCACGCATTAGGAAACCATATTTATAGGAAAAAGGGTAAAATGCATGGCTGACTTGCGTTTTCATGTAAAACGCAAGTCAAAATTGCGTTTTACTCTTACCAAAAACCTATTGCGCAGATCGAAGATACCCAGCGTGATTTGCAAAACAATGTACAACTCTATGGGTTAGCATTATATATTTGGTCTGACGCGGGGGGCACCATTTTACTGCTTACGGTTCCGTCCTCTAATACACATTCGAACTCGCCTACATTATTCTGTTTCGATTAGTAATGGATCTTTTTGATGATTTTGAAATACTACAGGACATCACTTCCAACTTTGGTCATCGCCTTCTCTACCATGCAATCAGCATACACGGAAGGAAGCTACGGTATGCGCATGTTGATCGAAGGACATGCAATACTTTTGTATGTTATCCAACACGTGGATGGGGAACATATCTATTGAGTTGGGTATATCAGTGCCCGAAACACGGATCTTCACAAATCAAAATCAAGCCCAAGGATATGCGATCCAAATTTTTGAAAGTTTACGTCAACTCTACTTCCCTCCGCGTAAGATTTACATTGCGTTGGTAATTAATAAACACCGATTTTGCCTTGCTTTATGTAAATATGAATGTAATTTATTTTTCATAGCTTGCAACGATATAATGCATATGCCAGATGTCAGTGAGTGCGCAACTGCTTGGTTTACAATCCAAGTCTCATTTGAACTACCCATGGTAATACGTTAACAAAAGACTATTACAATTTATTATCTACGTAGTATAACTGCTGTATTTCTAACAAGGTGCGTTTGATTTTATATTAGAGAATTCCAAATTGTATGCATCGCCATCTAATGCAACATCTGACCACAAAAGCAATACTATGGCATCATAGCGCATGGATAGAAGTTTGGGTAGACGATATGCAATTTACAACGGGAATTAGCGATTTTAAGGTAGAAAATGATTTATACCCGGGAGACATTGTCATATTTCGACATACAGGTTACTTCATTTTAGAAATGCTACTTGTTTAGCGTCGACTCTTACAGTCCAAAGAGAGAGTTCAATCAATTTGGCCCCAGAAGAAATACTAGACGGTTCGATACCGGTAAGATTACAATTGCATCCCTAAAAGTCAATGTCATATTTGAGTTTTACTACCTAAAACTTAGGTCCAAATTACAGTGTCCATCAACGTGCCAGCGCGGTCTGCAATACCGCCAACATTTGACTTTGAACAATTAGAGCGTTGTAGATCCTTGTATCACAATTTCGGCACGCTATTCGCGGTAAGAATCTCTATCGCAGTATAAACCGTAACTAAGATCAGTACTAACAATTATATTCTTTCAAAAATGTAGCGTGAGCAGTTGAGTGAATTTCTCCGAGATTTCATCGAAGTCGATGGGCCCCTAATATTCGTCCAGGAGATAGAAAACTAGAACTCTACTACGATTACAGTTTAGTATTCCATGACGAACAATGGGAGCAAATATATGATCATTTTCAGTTAGATGGCTGTGACCGTGTTGTGTTCTTCAATGTCAACCAACATGTCATACTCATGCTACCAATTACTATCGCCTGTAACGTAGAGAAGATTTATCCATAGTCAATCAACTACCAAATTATCGATAATGAATTTGGTGAAATCCATCAATTATCGATGTCAATGTAATGATTTTTAGTAATAAAACAATCCGGTTACATCAACAACGTTATGATACCTGTTCTATACTTCTTTTACTCACAACCTTTATTCTCATCTAACATTAACCCACCATATGACTAACCCCCTTATATAACATTATTCATTTACAGTATTTATATTGTAGTGTAAAAAATAATTAATCGGACGTCCATTTTTTCCGAACAATTCACTCAACAAAAAAAGAAACAAAAAAAGCAAATGGTGCATATGGCCTGGGGGTATAAAACGCAACACGTAGTTGCGTTTTTAACCCTGGGCCTATACTCTGGTCGGCCAGGGCTAAGGCCTGATAGGATGGCCTGTCAGGTATAAAACGCAACAAGTTGTTGCGTTTTCAACCCTGGGCCTGTCAGCAGTATAAAACGCAACAACGCATTGCGTTTTCAAGCTGTCAGCCCATCTTCTCATCTTATCATCTGTCAGCCCATCTTCTCATCCATCTTCTCATCCGTCAGCCCATAGCTTACATGATGGCTATAAAACGCAACACGTTCTTGCGTTTTCAACCATCACATGGTACTATCATCACATGGGCCTATACTATCATATCAGCACATGGTGGCCCATACTATCATATCATCGTACAACATACGAAAAACGCAACTTGGACTTGCATATTAAGGCAAAAGGACTAAACGCATGTCGCACTTGCGTTTTCACACTAGTTGGTCCCGAAATATCTTCCCTATATATATTCACCTCCTACATTTCGCGGATTCACAATGAAAACCCCATATTTTATTCCAACTCAACTTTACTTCTTTTATCTACTGCATACGAGATGGGAAGTTTGTTTTCTTCATACCCAATACTACATACCAACATTTTATTCCAGGGTGTCTCCACTGCCAAAAGAATTTCAACTAAATTTTGCGATTTCGGTTTCCGTTTAAGGGGCCTGCCCATAATTTCCGTCGTAGAGCTCTACTCCAAGGATGATAAATGTCATCCACACACTCCGTATTTCCTAGACGAGCCATCTACACTCCGGCTTGCCCAGTCAGCAAGGAAGGTTGATCGTGTACTACCTAAAGAGGAAGTACACCAGAGCAACTTAGACTTGCAACTGGCCAATTGGACCAATTGGGGACCTCCCCCCCAAAACTCCAAAGAGGCAGCCCCCCCCCCCCCCCAACCGTTTGGACGACAATATTTGTTTGCAGTAGAGAAATTAGAATTCACTAGATGCAAATGTAAATGTATGAATTTATGATATCAATTATATTTCTTTCCAGTTCAAACGCATTGCTTTTGACAGATTTCAGTTCAAAAAACAATTTTCGTTACACACATTCAATATCCTTACCCTCGTGTTTAGGGCTACGAAATTATGTCAACAATACAATTCCAATAAAACTACATTCCACTAATAATCAACTGTTAAACTATTTGGGTAAAAAAATGTTGGAAAAATATAAATTGTCACATAGCCGGATATAGTCAAATTACTTTTGGAAATTAGATTTCACAATACACAACATGCCTTCACCGAAATTTCAGATGAAATACTATACTAAATCGTTTCACTTTTGTCAACATCAAAATCATTACATTTCATCAACCACATTAAAAAATTTACAATTTCAACATATTGCCATGTTTCTCCGCATGCTTCTTACGCTGACATATAGATGGGATTCAAACCCTGGACAACAACGTATTCAAACACATGCTCACCCAACTAAGCTATACATCTTTCACTATTATCATCGCATTTATTAATACTTATAGTCAAACTCGAATAACGTCAAATAAAAAATGTACACGCAGTTAAGAGGATTTAAACCCTAACAAACCACATAATGAACCAAAGGTTCTACCAACTACGCTAACCCATCTATTGTTAACACATGCTCCATTTTAAATACTAATTACTTCAACAATACACAACGCAACTGACAGTTGCGTTTTACGTTACTTTCTCCTCCCCGAAAACTGGTCGGAAAATTTATAAAAATAGGAAACTGGTCGAGAAATTTATAAAAATTACGAACGCAATTACAGTTTGCGTTTTATCCAAATTATAAAAACGCATGTGGTAATTGCGTTTTGTGCTTCGCCGGATATTTGCCGGTACAAATAAACAAGAAAATGCAACTCGCTCTTACGTTTTGGTATTATACGCAAAACGCAAGACTAAGTTGTGTTTTCTGCCAATACCGTATCATCCAGAAAACGCAATTGCTAAATGCGTTTTACGTATACAAATACGTAAACGCAACCATGTCTTGCGTTTTACGTAAATAACGAAAAAAAAAAAAAATACGGCGGGCCACAACCAAAAACGCAAGTGGTAAGTGAGTTTTGCATATTTTTGTCAAAAAAAAAAAGGCAACACACTTTGGGAAATTTCCTAGTTTGACTACACATTCTTGTCATTTAGCCTGAGGATAATGGCTATAGAGAGAGGGGGTCGAGAGATGGCCAAAATGGCCTCCCCTTGCCACAAAGGGCTTTAGGCCCTTTTATAGGCTTAAGGTGTCGGGTTTGACCAGTCACCTTTGACCCCGACCCGCAGGCCAAGACTCGAACCGCGAGATCCCGACTCGACTGTAAGCTATGACACGGACCCGGGGTATATAACTTATCATTAATTCTTTGAGGATAGCTAACACCAAAAGGCCCCCTTTAGGAATTGTTATTTCCCCTACAAAGGAAATAGCTCATTCCCAAAAAAGTTATTCTCAACAATAAAAAGTCAAGACAAACATTGTAATATATCTCTTTTCATGAATGGTATTCCATTTCCAACATATTCCATGAATCAAACATGCTATTCAAGAAAACAACCATTTATTCGTGGGGGCTTAACATTTTGGTATTGCTAAAAGGGGCCCTACATTGTCTATTATTCTGAAGCTCTCGTTTATTTGTGGAATGAATCTGTGGACAGGAAATAACGGTCGAAGGGATACAAATGCTAAAAAAAATCCACTTCGAGTCCACTGGCGGGACTCAGTGATCCATCCTTCTTGTCTGTCCCAGCTCTCAATTTCGACATTTTTCCGGGGAGCAATGCCTACTAAATTGCCCCTTAATTTCATATCCAAATCCACTATCCACCACAAGACACCCTCTATTTCACATTATTCTTCTCGCCGCAGTAGCTGGTGTAGAACTAGTGGAAGAAGATCAGCGGCGCCGTCGTGCAGCACAAGAAGCTCAGCCGAGTCCATCAGATGGAACGGCCGCGGCTCAGAGAATCATCATCACCACCACCACCGCGTTCCTAAACTGAGCGGTGCCGGTGGTAGCATTAATTATGGCGGATTGGATCAGGACGGCGATAATAAGATGCCGAGAGTGGTGCATTGCGAAGTGCAAGTGGTGTCTTGGCGGGAGCGGAAAATCAAAGCTGAGATTTCCGTCAACGCCGACGTCGATTCCGTCTGGGATGCTCTCACTGACTACGAATGCCTTGCGGATTTCGTTCCCAATCTGGTTAGCAGGTTGGTACCATTTTCTTCGCGTATTTGTGCATTTTTGTTTTTAAACACTTATTTGAATATCACCAAACCAAGAATATTCAATCGAAGAAAGTAAAGATCATTTTCTTCTATCTCTTACACACTTGAACCAAAAATCTATATGCTTATTTAATTACGAAATGATATAATAAAAACGAAATACCAAATAGGCAATTAGCTAAATATTTTTCTAAATTTGATATTGACTTTCTTGGTATCTCCTTTTTCCATGTTAAAAAAATCATCGGGACAATTTAGCAAGAGAATTCCTTGTCCTCATCCTGGACGGATTTGGTTGGAACAGAGGGGTCTGCAACGGGCATTATATTGGCACATTGAAGCTCATGTTGTGTTGGATCTCCAAGAATTTATCAACTCAGTAAGTATCTTTAATTTTGTCTCTAGAGATTCTTTAACTCCCTCTCAGTTTGTACTTCAGAGTTTGTAATAACCAGATAAGTACTCCATTTGTCCCATTTTATATGACCTATTCACTATTCATCAAGGTTGCAAAAATAACTAGGCGTTACTCGGGCGCCTGTTTTTGTTTTTTGTTTTTTCTTTTTTTTTTTTTAAATTTAAAAGATTTAAAAAAAAATTATTTAAGACTTTAATTATAAACTATTTAACATTTTAATAGTTAGTACTAAAATATTAAATATTAACCTAAAAAACATCTAGAATTGTAAATTGTATAAAGATTTAAAGAATCAAAGCACAACACAAAGTCACAACTCACAAAGTATTAATATTAGAGTACTTGATTTCAATTTTTTTATTACATTTTTTAGGTTTGCGACCGATTTGAACAATTTAACATTATTTCACTAAAAACTGCGTTGGTTTGAGCGAAATAACCCATTTAAAAAAAAATGGAAAAATAGCTAACCAGCAGCCTAAATGCCCTCCTAGGCCGCCTAGACGACCGCGACATAGTCGGCGCCTATGCGGCCGGCCACCTAGAACGGCAATTCAGCCGAAATTCTACGCGGCCAGCCACTATCTAACGCCTAGGCACGATTTTTGCAACATTGCTATTCATTAATCAAACAACTCTTCTTTCTTCCCTTATTTTCCTTAACAATTTTTTATAATTTTTAAGTTCAACTTTTTGTGTTTAATTTAGTTTTTAAATATAAAAATTTATTAACTAATACTAATTTAAATGTTAACAAATTTGAATTGTAAATAACTTGAGTCTAGCCTTTACAAGTACATCATGTAAAATTGGATGGAGGAAGTATAAGCTTTTCACTTTTGATCCCTGAACTATATTGACTTTTCCATGTAAGATGTTTTATAATATGTTTTTTAAAAAATCTAGTGCTCGCTATTGGAGATTGGCCAATTGTGGTCCTCCATTATGTTTTTTTTTTTTTCTTTTCTTTTTTTCAATTTCAGATGGAAAATGGCATGTGCCATAATGATGAGTGTATAATTGACTTTTCACTGCCTTCATCATCCCAATTTGTATTAAAAAGTTAAAAATAAAAAGAATAAAAGAATGTGGCCATGGCTGGATTGGCTAAAATGTTTTTTTTTTTTTTTTATTCATTTATTTATGGCTATAGAAAGGTCGTGGCCAAGCACATACTTTTCTTTTCCTTCTCTTTTAATTTTTTATTTTTGTAAACTAGGGAGAAAGAAGGCCATGGCTAGACTGTTGCCGGGTGCCACTGTCCACTGTTTTAAAAAAATTAGAGAGGAAGAAGGCTGTGAAAACTCCGTTATACTCTCATTACTGTCCAAAATTGACCGAAATCCTAATGGAAGGACAAAAATAGATCGATTATAAAAAATGAAGCGTTGAATCTGGAAACATTGATAGCCAAACACCTTAGACAGGAAAGTAGGTGTAGTCAAGGACCAAAATTGGAATAATTTCCTATTCAATATTTACCATAGCTTCTTCTATCCTTATATTGGCCTTGTACTAATAAGAGCCAACTCTTTCAATATTTGAAGTACAAACTCCATATGGCTCTTTAATTTTTATTATTTTAAAAAGGTTATGGATTTGTGTAGGGGTCCGATTTTGATTTTTAAGGAAGTGGACACCATTGTTTGGAAGGGAAAGAGCAGGTGGATGCTCTGGAAGTTAAACTTATGTTCAGTCGTTCATTTAACCGAAAATTTACTAATTCAATTGACTAGCTTACATTATCCTTTTCCTTTAGCAAATGGTTCATTAAATAGTATTGCTATTATAATTCAGGAGTTTCACATTGTTCATTTTGTCAAGCTTCTGTTTATAGCTGTTGTTGATTCTATATGTTCAGGAAAATATTCGTGAACTCCACTTTTCCATGGTTGATGGTGACTTCAAGAAGTTTGAAGGTAAATGGTTTCTCAAATCTGGAAAAAGGTAAAATGTATAAGTAATACTAATACTATTCTTTGTTCTTTTTATTTTCTTGTTTTTTGGTCCATCTCCTTTTACTCCTAGGGCATAATATACTGGTGGTACCAACTTTGGACCATGAAAGCAAAAATGGTCAGTTTATAATCACAGAATCCTTGAAGAAGTTTTGAATACAAGGACTTGAAAATCCTGTAGTTCAACTACTTCTATGTGTGGACTTGGTCTTTTTCAAAACTCATTTACTTTAATTCAAAAGATTCAATCATATTGCCACATAAATCACTATCCTATTGTTAGCAACCTTTTACTGTTTTTAAAATATGGATATATTTCCCAGAGAGAATCATAGTAAATTGAAGAATCTTAATGCAGTTATTTTGTTTAATTATTATTTAAAAGTAAAACCTTCTTTACATTCTTTTTCAGAGCTTCAACGACTATGTTGTGTTATGAAGTTAATGTTATTCCAAGGTTTAACTTCCCAGCAATATTCTTGGAGAGAATTATCAGATCAGACCTTCCTGTGAATCTTCAAGCATTAGCCTGCCGAGCCGAAAGCAAGTTTGAGGGTCATCAGAATACAGTTGCTATAAATGCGGGTGCCAGTGCAGACTCTCTTGCTTCCCTTGTTTCATCAAGCACAAATGTTGATGTTTCCATACCTGAAAAGAATAAAATTTCTACTGGTGCACTCAAAGAGAAACTTGGAAAAGCTACTTTTGGCCCTGTGGCACCTGCTACTAGTGATCTGAACAGTAACTGGGGAGTTTTTGGAAAAACTTGCAAAATTAACAAGACATGCACGGTGGATGAGGTTCATCTCCGCAGATTTGATGGCCTATTGGTAATTGACTCTACACTGCGCTTTCCTTTTTGTGAAAAGTCATATTGTTTGACTTTAATAACCTGCTGATATATTGGTTTTCAACTTAAGGAAAATGGTGGTGTCCATCGCTGCGTCGTGGCTAGCATAACAGTCAGGGCTCCTGTTCGTGAAGTATGGAATGTTTTGACTTCTTATGAGAGTCTTCCTGAGTAAGTAATGTAGCTTTTCAGTTCCATGCTTTAAGTCTTTGCAAGCATTAGCCTTTGGAACCTTAATGCGTGTATCAATGATTAACTGTCATCATATTGTAAATTTATTTGCAAAAAGTCCTTGCACTAAATTATGATATAATATGAGACAGCTCTATATAATTTGGCTTAAATCGAGTTTTGGTTGATCCTTTAATTTCTCACGTGTAAAGCTTTCTACCAGTTCCATTCATTTCCAACTTATAATACAAGTATTTAGTCTTTTTATCCTAAAGTGAAATACTTCTCTTCCTGAAGAATATTTTGCGTTTGGAAAGGAACTGATTTGTAAGTTGTCAAAGTGATTGAAGTAGCAAGTATAGGAGGCTTCTAAAAACATGTCAAATCATACTTAACTTTGTGACAATGGACCTATTGCATTTTACCAGTTTTTTCAAATTGCTTAAGGATTTGATCATGTTGCCAAGTTACTCACATTCATTTTGATTTCTTTTTCAATAATATTTGTTTACTTTAGCCATGTGCAACTTATCAAATCATAGTTAACTTTGGCCATGTGACAATAAACCTGTTAAGAGTCTATATTAAAAAAATGAGAGAAACATATGAGTTTATAAGGTCATGGGTTGGACTAGCTAATTGATTTGTCTTAGTTTGACCCATGTGCAATATAGCCCAATTGAGGGACATTAGCCCAATATTAGATTATAACATGGTGACATTGGCCCAATCTTAAATTATAACATAGTATCAAAGTTTGTCTGGAAGGATTTGGCCCAATCTTATATTATAACATGATATCAAAGCTTTATAACATGATATTATAACATGGTATCTGAGCTTAGATTATAACATGGGGTTATTAGAAAAACATATGCCTTGCTCTTAGATTATAACATGGTATCAGAGCCTTTATAATGCCCCAATTGAGAGACATTGGCCCAATCTTAAGATTATACAAAGCCTATTGCATTTACTAGCTTTCAAACTGCTTTAGGATTTACTCATATTTATTATAATATTGTATGCTTAAAAAATTGCTAAATACCTTCAGAGCTTTTTCATTTTGTGTGGTTACTTTGAGAAAAAGTTTATGTGCATATCTGTAGACAAAAACTAGAAAGAAACAGAAATATAAAGAGGAAGCGAAGATAATGTAAAGATAAGATATAAATCGGAGATTGTGTGTACAAATATATTAGTATCAGAGCTAGTGCAATTGTTTTCTCATCTAAAAACCTTAGAAACTCCCTTGTAATGTATTCAACATCCATGCAGTCCATATTGATTATTTCCTTTCTCTTAAAACTTGCAGGATAGTTCCCAATTTAGCTATCAGTAAGATCCTATCACGAGAAAATAACAAAGTTCGCATTCTTCAGGTCTGACCAGAGTAAATTTATTTTATTTTATTTTATTTTGTCAGTCAATGAAATTATAACAATATTTGTTGTTAATGAGTGGTTGGGGTTAAGTCTACACTCCTAACAGGAACAACTCAATTTCTTATAATTTTATTTATTTACGTTATCTGAGGGAGTGTTGGTGGTGGTCTAAGAGGTAGCCCTCTTGGGTTCCAAAGGTTAGGAAACCTGCCAGTTTCATAGGAGCAGACCAAGTTCACTTTGAGTGAAAGGTCAGCCCAGCCCATTGAAGAGGGGTGGTTCGGTGCATCAAGGCTTCAACCACTTGCACAGGCTGGGTTTAATAACTAACCATGCTCTTTGTTCTCAATGAAGTTACTACATGTTGATGATAGGAATTAGTTGTTGTTCTAATACTACAAGTTCATGATGGGAATTAGTTGTTGTTCTAATACTGTTTGTTTCCTTGTACAACTCAAATGATTTATATCATGGAGCCATGGACATGCCAAACATCATCATGCGGATAGTTAGTCTTCATTTTGCAGGAAGGATGCAAGGGTCTTCTATATATGGTACTTCATGCACGTGTTATCCTAGACTTGTGTGAAAAAATTGAAGAAGAAATTAGCTTCGAGCAGGTTGAGGGGGACTTTGATTCATTTCAAGGAAAATGGATCCTGGAGCAACTAGGAAGTCATCATACACTATTGAAGTATAGCGTGGAGTCGAAGATGCACAAGAACTCATTTCTTTCTGAAGCAATTATGGAAGAGGTCATTATTTCTAGCTGTTTCTCTTCACTTCCAGAATCAAAGTATGATGTAGTGCATTTGTTTTTTTTTTTTTTTTTTTTGTTTTTTTGTTGTTGAAAGATGCTGCTTGCATATAAAAGCATTCTACTAACTACATCTTACAGTGGATATATATAGGTTAAAATTTTAGTTATAGATAGTTCTCCTGACATTGTAGGTCATATATGAAGATCTCCCTTCGAACCTATGTGCAATTCGAGATTACATTGAGAGATTAGAGGCAGAGAATGCTGAGAAGACACAGGAATATGTAACATATGGTGAGGCAGAGATCAAGATCACCCCTGACAAGGACCTATCTGCTGACTCTATTAGCCCATATGAGGAGACTTCAGATTCTGTTAATTCAGAGTCACATAGACAGAGACCCAAAGTTCCAGGATTGCAGAGGGATATTGAAATTCTAAGAGCTGAGCTTCTGGGTTTTATCTCAGAGCATGGACAGGAAGGATTTATGCCGATGAGAAAGCAGTTACGTAAGCATGGAAGGGTGGATATTGAGAAAGCAATTACTCGAATGGGTGGATTCAGAAGAATTGCATTTTTGATGAATCTCTCCCTTGCTTACAAACACCGCAAGCCAAAAGGTTACTGGGATAACCTAGAGAACTTGCAAGATGAGGTCTCTTTTATGCAAAATGAAATGCCTAGATTTATTTACATTCTTTTCTAGTTTAAAGACCAATCAATCTTGAATGTTTCAGATTAGTCGCTTCCAGAGGAGCTGGGGAATGGATCCATCTTATATGCCCAGCAGAAAATCTTTTGAACGAGCAGGTGCATAGAGTGTGTGTTTTGAACTTTGATTAATAAAGCTCTAGTTGTGAGTAGTTGAATAATTAATAATTGTTACAGGTCGATACGATATTGCTCGTGCATTGGAAAAATGGGGTGGGCTTCATGAAGTCTCACGTCTTTTGTCACTCAAGGTAAGGCATCCCAACAGACAACCAAGCTTTGGCAAGGAGAAGAAATTTGATGTAAATGGTGAGGAGAAGACCCCTAGAGCCTATGTTTCACAAGATGCACACAAGTGGCTCACAAAACTAAAGGAATTGGATATAAACTGGGTTGAATGACACATCTACAAGGTACATTATTATTTTCCTTGAAACCTTTGGTTTGGTAGCAACCAATATAATGCCTCTCTTGTACATACTTGCTAGCATATAGTATAGCTAGCTAAGAATTGAAGTGTATCAGCTTTTGAGTAAGCATCATCAAAACTCACAAAAATAAAAATTGTTGAAATGAATTACTGTAGCTCTTGGTTGCCTTTATTCTTTTACTCACTTGCTGAGAATGAATCTTGGAAATCAATCTTGAGATGATGGTGTCAATGAAGAAATGTTGATGTCATAGCTGCGGCATGCAGAAAGGCCATCCCATTGTTGTGATTGTGGGTTGAGTGAAGAAGGCAATGTACCAATGTAGTTTCCACACTCCCGGCAGAGCAGCTTGGTGTGGCGGCGAAAGAGACCCCACGAGTGTTTGGACCTGAAATACGGCAAACACCGGAATTTAGTAATGTGGGTGAATCTGGTCTCATCAATACAAAAGAATGAGATAACCCCTCGCTTCATGGCCTTGTCGTATTCCGACCCAATAACAGAGGTATTGCGGTTGCAGGAGCTCAGGTTCAGTGCGTATCCGCAACACCCACACCTGCCATCAATAATAAAAAGAGTTTCTTTAATTTTCTGTAACCCAACAACAAAACACTAGTCCTCTCATCTCATCTACTAGAACTAGAATACAAATGAAATGAAATGAAATGAAGAACCTGTAGCTCACATCTCTGTCGGTACTAGTATTCATCCTGATGAGAGAGGTAAACGCAGAGGCTGAGGAAGACGAAGACGACATTATTGCCGTTGAATATCTGATGGACTCACTATTCTCTCTCTCTCTCTGTCTCGTGTTTGGTTCGTTTGTTTTATATATATATATATACACGTCAAGTGCTGCATGTCTGACTGTTCGCACTGAAGGCTCCTAACGGTAACAAGCGATTCCTCATTAGAATGTTTTTTTTTTTCTTTTTCTTGGGCACTTAAATAATTTAAAATATTCTTTACTAAAATTCTAAACATGAACCATTATGGTATGAGACCAGGTTCGATTTGTTTTCAGCCAATACTTTCTTAACCGGTTGAAGAACAAAAAGTCAACGTCACGATTTGTTTTCAGTCAATACTTTCTTAACCGGTTGAAGAACAAAAAGTTAACACCACCTCTACTGAGGCCCGATCTCATGACCTCTCATATGGGAAAGTCGTTACCTTCAAGAAGCTTAAACTTGTGTACGGCTAGGCTTAAGTTATACCAAACTTCAGTATCATTTTGAAGATTAAATTCGTTATGGAACTAATCTTGCATTAATTCCACTTTTGAATTCTGAATTTAATTTTCAAGTAGTGGCCTGCTGTTTCAGCTGTTGCAAACTAATTTTATACCAGTTTAAATGCCAAGATTAAATGCTATTTAATCCTCAAGCCCAAAATGAGACTGAAAAGGCTTGATTCAAGCTTAACTCATGTACGTCGGCATCTGCTATGCCAAACTTCGGTATCATTTTTCCAACCAAAGCACACACGAGAGTTGTGCTCTCGTGCTACAACTAGAGCATGAGAGTTGTGCTCTCGGGCTGCAACCATAGCACAAGAGTTGTACTCTCGTGCTGCTGCTGTTGGTTCGGCTTTGAGAGGCCGAACCTGGAGCTCTCGTGTGCTGACGGCAAGAGCCTAAGTGACTGTTGTGAAGATTAAATTCATCCGTTACGGAATTAATCTTGCATTAATTCCACTTTTGAATTCTGAATTTAATTTTCAGGTAGTGGCCTGCTGTTTCAGCTGTTGCAAACTGATTTTATATCAGTTTAAGTGCCAAAATTAAATGTTATTTAATCCTCAAGCCCTATATAAGAGAGGGTAGAGCAGCAGAAATTTTCACAACAAGAAAGCATAATTTTCTAGCTCAAAAACTCTCTGCTTCTACTCCTTTCTTAGCCTACTATGTTCATCTCATAGCTCTCGTTCACGGGCTTCTTTGTTTGGGTGCTCAAACATTGAATCATAGCACATTTTATCCTGGGAAACCTATGCTACAACGCTCCTAGCACTTGTGGGAGGTAGCAAATAAGGTTTTAAGGAAAGAGTGATTCGCTCGACTTGTGCTAACCACCTAGCCCAAACCCGAGCCACATTCCATCACCCTTTCCTTCCCATTTTTCTGTTAAATAATAATCCTTATTTTGTAGGAACAAGATGCTCAATCCGTGATGGCGGTTGGCTATTAGAAGGATTCGAACTTCCTTTGCCGAAATTACATCCTAAACGGATTGTGTGATATGCTATACGATGTGTATTGAAAGATAAGCACATCAAAAGCGTTGTGGGAAGATTTGGATCACAAGTATAGAAGTGAGGATGCTGGCGCAAAGAAATTTGTGGTTGGCCGATTCCTCGACTTCAAAATGGTTGATTCCAAGACCGTGCTAAGTCAGGTAGAAGATTTGCAACTAATCTTCGACGAGAAGCGTGACGAGGGCATGGTGTTGAGTGAAGCCTTCCAAGTGGGATTTGTGATCCACTTGTTGCCTCCAAGTTGGAAGGACTTCAAGAATTACCTTAAGCATAAGCGAAAGGAGATGAACCTGGAGGGGAACATGACGAATGATAGGATAGTTCATGTCGTTAATGGCACTAAGGCCAACGTTGTGGAGCACGGTAAAAGCTCCAAGAGGAACAAAAAGGACAAGCGAAAGCTAGGTCCGAAAGGAGGCGTTACCAAGAACAAGTTTCCTAGTACATGTTACAATTGTAGCAAGCTTGGCCACAAGGCATCTGAATGCAAGGCTCCAATGAAGAAGAACAAGAGTTCTGAAGCCAACGTTGTTGGAGAGAGCAGTCAGAAGGAGGTCGAGATTAGCCTTTCGGATATGGTGACCGAGGTGAACCTCGATACCGGTGCAACCAGGCATTTATGTTGCAACCGAGAGATGTTTAACACCTTTGAGACCGTTGAGGGTGAAAATGTGTGGATGGGTAACTCTGCTCAGTCTGATGTGGAAGGCATGAGCAAAGTGGTTCTAAAGATGACTTCTGGGAAGGAACTGACGTTGAACAACATGCTGTACGTTTCGAAGCTGAGGAAGAATCTTGTGTCTGGCTCGCTGATGAACAAGCATGGGTTCTGCATGGTGTTTGAATAAGACAAAGTAGTTTTGTCTAAGTTAGGGATGTTTGTTGGTAAATGATATGTAACTGATGGGTTTTTTAAGCTAAGTGTAATTCCTGTTATCAATAAAAGCAAAGTTAATTCTACTTAGTTGCTTGAGTCTTCCAATTTGTGGCATGGTAGACTAGGTCATGTTAATTTTAATTCTATATGTAGATTAATTAGCATGCACCATATTCTTAACTTTCAAATTAATACAAATAACAAATGTGATATTTGTATTGAGGCAAAACTAACGAAAGTACCTTTCAAATCGGTTGAAAGGGAAACTGAACCACTAGAATTAATCCATAGTGATTTGTGCGATTTTAAATCGATACAAACAAGATGTGTTAATAAGTATTTTATCACATTTATCGATGATAGCACACGATACTACTACGTGTATTTGCTTAAGAGCAAAGATGAAGCCGTTGATAAATTCGTTCTTTATAAGAATGAAGTGGAAAACCAACTTAATCGGAGAATTAAGAAGGTTAGAAGCGATAGAGGTGGTGAGTACGAAGTACCGATTGGTGACCTCTGTGCAAGTGTAGGTATCATACACGAGCGTACGACACCTTACGCACCTCAATCGAACAGTGTTGCCGAACGAAAGAATCGTACATTGAAAGATATGATAAATGCGATGCTTATAAGTTCGGGCCTACCTCAAGGTATGTGGGGTGAGGCGATTTTGAAAAGTAATAACCTTTTAAATAAGGTACTCCGCAAGAAGCTCGATAAGATTTCTTATGAGCTGTGGAACGGTAGGAAATCTTCTTACCAGTACCTGAAAGTGTGGGGGTGTCTTGTCAAACTTTTGGTGCCAACACCTAAGAAATTAAAGATAGGTCCTAAGATGGTGGATTGTATCTTTATCGGCTATGCACATAACAATAGTGCTTATCGGTTCTTAGTGCACGAGTCTCATAATCCTGACGTACATGAGAACACGATAATAGAATCGAGGAATGCATATTTCTTTGAACATGTATTTCCTTGTAGGTCCAATGAGGGACCAAGTACGTCAAAACGGACGTTTGACGAAACTATGGATAATGATAGTGGGGAATCTGAGAAAGAACCCGAGCTCGAGCCGAGACGCAGTAAGCGGACAAGAGTTGAAAAATCATTTGATCCTGATTTTCTAATTTACTTGTTAGAGTATGATTCAGGTACTCTAACTTGTTTATTAGAAAATGAACCCGATTTTCTATCTTGTTTGGTAGAGAACGACGTATGTAGAAGCCATGATTTCTACGGAAGGACCAATGTGGAAAGATGATATAAAAAGTGAAATAGATTCTATCCTACAGAATCACACTTGGGAACTTGTTGATCTTCCTCCGGGTAGTAAACCCTTAGGATCCAAGTGGGTCTTTAAAAGGAAGATGAAACCGGACGGTTCCATCGAGAAGTATAAGGCTAGGCTTGTAATCAAGGGTTACAGGCAACGCGAGGGCCTTGATTACTTCGACACGTATTCTCTCGTGACGAGAATAAACTCTATTAGGATGATACTTGCCATAGCCGCGTTGCGGAATTTGGAAGTTCATCAAATGGACGTTAAAACCGCTTTCCTAAATGGCGAATTAGATGAGGAAATTTATATGGAACAACCTGAAGGGTTCGTGGTTCCGGGCCAAGAAAGGAAAGTGTGTAAGTTGGTTAAATCGCTCTATGGTTTAAAACAAGCGCCTAAGCAGTGGCACAATAAGTTTGACCATGCGATGTTAACTAATGGGTTTAAAATAAACGAAAGTGACAAATGTGTCTACGTTAAGGAAACAATAGACGACTATGTCATTCTTTGTTTATACGTAGATGATATGCTCATCGTTGGTAGTAACGATCGGATGATCAAGTCTACCAAAAACATGTTAAATGTGAGATTTGACATGAAGGATATGGGTTTGGCTGATTTAATTCTCGGGATTAGAATCATTAGAAGACCTGATTGTCTTGTGTTGAGCCAATCACATTATACTGACAAAATCATTGAAAAGTTTAACAAGGATGATGATCAATTGGCTAGAACACCGTTTGATACAAACGTTCATCTAACCAAGAACCATAGAGAAAGTATTCCACAGGCAGAATATGCTCGGGTTATTGGTAGTTTGATGTATCTTATGGGCTGTATTAGGCCGGATATTGCCTTTGCGGTTAGTAAACTCAATAGATATACGAATAACCTCGGTGATATGCACTGGAAGACAATAGTAAAGGTTATGAGATACTTGAGGTATACTCGTGACTTTGGACTGCACTATGGGAGATATCCCGCTGTACTTGAAGGGTATAGCGATGCTAACTGGATATCTGATATTAAGGACTCTAAGTCCACGAGTGGCTACGTGTTTACACTAGTTGGTGCAGCCATTGCATGAGAATCCTCTAAGCAAACCGTGGTAGCTAGATCCATGATGGAATCTGAGCTGATAGCCTTGGACAAAGGTTGTGAAGAGGCTGAATGGCTACGCCATTTTCTAGAGGATATTCCTAATTGGGAAAGACCTGTACCTCCGATATGTGTGCATTGCGATAGTCAAGCCACAATTGAGAGAGTATATAGTCATATGTATAATGGTAAGTCTAGACATGTGCGTCGTATACATAATACCATTAGAAAACTTTCTCACAACTGGTGTTGTCTCGATTGACTACGTAAAGTCAAAAGACAATATAGCAGATCTGCTGACCAAACGGTTAGGCAAAGAAGTTGTGGAGAAGTTGACATGAGGAATGGGTCAAAACCCTTGGACTAAAAAGTTCTATAGTGGATACCCAACCTAGCTGGCACCTAGGTTCAATGGAACAACTAAATTATGGAACGAGCTGAGCGCATCACTGTGGGGGTCTCAGACTCCTTACCACTCATCTTTAAAACAGTGACTCACGTACGAGGTTAGCACGTTAATGCTTTAATGATTCGAATGTAATTGACATGCGTGAATATGCAGGATACTCGAGAAAGAATCACTTATGTAAGAAAAAGTGAGGGTCGCTTCAAAGGAGAATTGGTGGGCACAATTCTTTATAAGCTCGTGTTGAACCAAGAACGGTGACCCACGACCAAAACGGGCACAGTCATGAGAACAGAGCATGGTTGGGAGGTTCCTGTGTGAGATATGTCATCTTCTACACAAACGACAGTCGGTTCAAAGATATCGTGTTCTACCGTACAGTTAGTAGAGTAAACATATCTTCACAAGGGATGGTTCAAAGGGTACAGTACCCTCTACCTATCCTATTCAGGGATCGACAGTTGAACACAGTTGTTTCCGATTTCAAAATACCCTGAAAATCAATTTTTCATTCATGTGGGAGATTGTTGGAAAAAACAGCTTAAAATGACATGGTAAGTGGCTATTTTGTGGTACAATTATCAGTGGGTCAACTTCCAATTTTGGGTCAGATCAAAGTGGATTCAGGTTCTTCGTAGTGAGACGAAGAGAATGATATATTGTACGCTTAAAACGGATAATAGATGAATGAAATATTGATTCTCAAAGTAAACTCATTGGGTTGAAAAAATGAAGGGAAAAAGTGTAACTTTTGTCCCATACTGGTTTGGAAAGTGAATTTACACCACTATTTATACAAGAGTTCTTTTAAGATTTATTGAATTGTATAGCATAGAGGCTCTCTTTCGCACACAGGGAGACTGAAAAGGCCTGATTCAGTACAAAAGTTCTCAGATCGGGGAGATACGTACTCTTCAGAGATTTTTTCATTTAAAAAAAAAGTTATATGCTAATTAATAGCAAATACAATAAGCATTTGTAACCATGTGCTCGTATAGTCGTATTTATGACCCCAAAAAAAAAAAAAAAAAACAGCATATCCAGCATATGCTGAGGAATATAAAATAAAAGAATTCCTTCATTTTCTACCATATTTCTTACCCTACTTTTCATTTGCAAGTCTACATGCTTTGACCTTTATCCTTTGCCTGATAACAGACAGTGTATTGGAGAACTGAAGAAATTTTACAAAATATCATGCTCTGACACCAAAACTCCGAACCTGATGACTCCCATCTTCTTAATCATGTCTTCGAGCGCTTTAAGTAGGTTAATACACCAATGCTTGTTAGTACAACTGCTCCGGCAAAAATCCCGGGAAGGAGAGAGACTCCTTTAGTCTTTTCCACAGTGGTGGTAGTTGGTGGTGGTTGAGTTCTCTTTTTGTGTGAATCAGATAAGTCCAGATGCAATCTCAGGACCTGCAGACAAAATGTAAGGTGGTAACAACTCTTAAAACTAAATCGTAGGTCAATAATTCATCCACAAGGCTAGATGGTACAAGAGACGCGAAGGCAAGCTCAAGTGGACCGGTGGCAAGGCTCAAGGGTACAGTTGTGTATACTCATAAATCTAAAAGATTAGATCACTCACCGACTAAAAGATTAATATTTTACCCTAACCCCCTGCCTCCAAACCAAAAAAAGAAAAAACTAGAGTAAAGAGATGGAAACATAAATTGCCTCCCAGCAATGTTAATGTACACACTAATTATTTTAATTGATCAGAGATGAGGCAATGGTGAATGAATATTTGCATTACATGACATGATCATGAATGCACTTGCATGCACAGTCAATGGATTCATGCATATTAAGGAATTGGCATTTTCTTCTTTTTTTTTTCTTTTTTTTTCCCCTTTCAAAATTTAAGGTTTATCCTTAGTGAGAAAGGAGTTACTGTGAAGACACCAATATATTTTCTCAGAATTTTTTCCACTCCTAGTCCTTGACTATAGTGGGGTATTTTCACTTTTGGTCCTTGACTTTGATTTGTTCCACTTTTAGTCCTCATTTCAATTTTAGAAATTTGGTTAAAAAGTGAAGACACTTTGAACTAAAAGTGGAACAACAAAGTTGAGGATTAGAAGTAGAATAAACTCTATGTTCCCATGTATTTGTAGTTTCCCCAGGCAGTTTTTTCCTTTGGCCAGTAAGCCAGTTGGAGCATTTTGTTGTAAAGATAGAGTCATAGAGAAGGGATGCTGTATATCAATACAGACAATGAAGAATGGAATTTCAAAAGCAGTACTTAGAACAGATTTGAGGTGGCATGGATATTGGGGTCCATCTATGGGTTGGGAGAAGGCACTTAAGAGTTAAATAGCCTGTCACGAGTTGATTTGTGCATACATGTGAATATTCCCACTACCCTTCTTCTCCTATTTATTTGTACTTATACTTATATGTTTGCATAGAGGCATTGGAATGGTAATTACAAGGTTCAAATTCCAATTGTTTGACATTTCCCTTCCCCTTTCACTCTTCTCCTGCTTAACTTTCATTGGGAGGCTAGTGACGTCATTTTGTCCACCCAACAATGAGAATGATTTTATATTTCGATAGAGTGCAGTATGCTTTTCCCACAGCTTAACCAATTTAATCTGATTAGATCATAATAGAATTGTTTTTAACAAAAAAGGTGAATGCATTGGCTAAATTAGCCGGGCAATGTGTCTTCAAAAAACTTAAAATGCATAAGATGAGATAGATTGATTATTTTATAGTGCACTTTTATATTTATAGAAGAATAATAGAATGCCGAATCCAATGCAAACATAGATCATAATCATACCTTCAATCCCACTGATCTGGCATGGCTAACGGCACCAATAAGATCAGTATCAGTTGTCAGCAGAACTTTGTCGCCTTCATCATCTTCATACTACACAAACAGGAAAACAAACAAACAAACAAAAAAAGGAATGTTATATCAGGAAAAGTTTATATATATATATATATATATATATATATATATATATATATATATATATATATAACAGGGGGAAAAGGAAAGGAAGGTACATCTTTCATATTTTCAGGCTTACCAAAATTTGTGGGTGATCATGAAGATCAGTTATCCCGATCCTTTGAATAACAGCAGAAACAAGCTCAGCTAAGTTTTCTGTGCCTGAAAAACGTGAATGACAATAGAGACATTTTAGAAATAAAATGAACAAAGTATTTCCTCGGCGCATGTATATTGTTAATTAGAAAAATCAGATATTTATGCAATAAAAGAATTCAATATTTCTTATAAATTACCTCACCACACCAACAAATAAGAAAAGTGTAGGTTCATACATAACTAGATAACTGGAAGTATTAAAAGTGTTGCACTAACAGTGACAAAAAACAAAAACAAGATACAAGTAAATGTCTTCCAAGGGACAACAAGAATATATAACTAAAATAAACTTGAGAGGAAATAAGTTTACTCCATTCCAAAAAGATTGTCCCATTTACTTCAACACATTTTAAGGATATTGGAGAAAAGAGTATATTTTTCCTCTTGCCTACAACGAAAGTGGACAACATTTTGAAACATCCTAAAAAAGAAATATAGACATCTTTTTCAGGACAGAGGGAATATTATATTAGAGAATTATTCTACTCCATGCCTGATGCCACCAAGATTTGGAAGTTTTAGGGTTCTGGAATAGGAATCACAAATCTAAATAAGACTTACCAAAATTAAATCTGTGCACTCGCCCTTTTAGGTCCTCAAATTTGAAGGTAAATGAATTTCCAAGACCCAGGGATGGATATGAAGACTTCCCTGGTTCTGTCCAATCAGATGTCATCGCTGCAGACATGGACATCTCACTGCATAAAAGGCCATTTGTGCAGGTTTTGTTTTAATCTAGGTCATGAGAGTAAACACATTTTGGACACAAATATCATAATGGTCATAACATAAGGTGCATTTTCATATACATCTTTATTATCAGTAAAACATAAGAAAAATACCTTTGTGTGTCATAATCATCTGGTGGTTCCACATTAAGCGCAGAATCCCAGAACTTTTGCATTACTGTATTTGCAACATCATTAACAGCACCAGAGCTATTCTCAACCTGGAGAAAACATGCACATTAACTTAGATCCTTCAGATATTCCCTCCAGGCTCCACCATGCCCTCTATTGAGAGATTGACATTCACAAATCTTATAATAATAGAGATTTCAATTCTGTCTAATTTCATTATCCAAGGTTGTTAGAGTTGAGAGCAGTAGAGGAAGGAACAATGAAGAATTGAATTGAAAAAGGAAACAACAAGGATATGTAAATATCCACCAGCAAGAAATGGTTCTTGCCCAGCTATACATAGCCCTTATTTTATTCTAATTACTACTGCCTGCCTCAACACTAAGGAAGACTCCCTATTTATAATCTCATATTGTATAGGAAAGTAAATAGCATAATATCCTCCCCTGATTCCCTGCTGCAATCCCATGACTTATGCTTTATTTGTAATCTAAAATTATGATGCTTGATTGATTCTCATTTTCATTTGTGTCCTGATTTCCTTTCTTTCTCTTGAGTAAACAATCCACTGGTGTTTTATCAAAGGCACAAGTTGGAGTGCCAATGAGAAAGGATTTCAGGGAAGGATCAGAAATTCCTCAACATCTATAATATATTTGGTTATCACCCAATCTGACCAGAAAACCCTCACAAAAATAAGGATCAATAATGCATATAAAAGATCATAATGATTTGGTAGACCATGGAGGCAAGGAAAACACTTCAAGTAGTTCAATTGGCAGCCAGAGGTAATAACAAATCGGTTACAAAGTGTGGACATTATCATCATTAAGTATTACTGTGTTGACTTCAGATCACTCTGCAGATAAAAAAAAGATACCCATAAGTCGTAAAAAGTTTATCATAGGTTCACTTACCATGGAAATTGCTGCATGAGTTATCTGCAACACATCTACCGAAGCAACAACACTTCCTTCTGCCAAAATAGTTAGCTCTTGAAAGTTAAGTCAAACCTTTCTCAGAATATAAATATACAAAACAGAGCAAAATGTACACATCTCACCTCTATCTAAAACAGGAAGGTGCAAAAACTTTCCATCATGCATTATATGCAGCGCTTCAAGTATTGGTGTCTCTAGTGTTGCACATTCAGGGTTTGGTGTCATTACCTTGAAAAAAAAAGGCCAAATCAAATTTACATTAAAGCAGATATAAAATTCATCTTGCCATCAAAATTAAAAACAGCACCAATCACAGAATATGGTTATTATTTGCTCTTTACATGCTGTTGCTAGAAAGAAGGGACATCAACTGTGTTTGTTCTATTTTCTGTGTTTTCTTCTTCACTGCTACACTTAGATATATATACTACTACAATGGACTGTTTTACAACTCTTCACTTCCTAGTCTATTTAATTCTATGCCTTTCCATCTTCTATAACTGTTTATATCTAACACTCCCCCTCAAGCTGGAGCATAGATATTAATCATGCCCAGCTTGTTACAAATATACTCAACCCTGTCCCTGCTAAGCCCTTTGGTGAACACATCAGCTAGTTGATCGCCGCTACGAACATGAGCCATGGAAATGAGGCCTTGTTGAATCTTTTCACGCACAAAATGGCAATCTACCTCAATATGTTTGGTACGCTCATGGAACACTGGATTGTTTGAAATATGTATCGCTGCTTGATTATCACACCATAAACGTATGGGCTTCATCACTTCCACACCAACCTCCTTCAACATATTGTGCACCCAAGTTATTTCACACGTCACATGAGCGATCGCCCGATACTCAGATTCTGCACTGGACCGAGCCACAACAGTCTGTTTCTTGCTTTTCCAAGAAACCAAATTACCTCCTACGAACACACAATACCCTGTTGTGGACTTCCTGTCACTTAACGAACCTGCCCAATCAGCATCCGAAAATGCCTCAACTCTGGCATGTCCATGATCAGCATATAGAATGCCTTTACCTGGTGCATTCTTGAGATACTTTACAATTCGAACTGCTGCCTCCCAATGAGTTCGCATGGGTGTTTGCATGAACTGACTTACCACACTGACTGGAAAAGCAATATCAGGACGCGTAATGGTGAGATAATTCAACTTTCCCACCAACTTCCTATATCTTTCTGGAGAATCAAAGGCCTCCCCCTCACCAGCCACAAGTCTCACACCCTGCTCCATAGGGGTCTCACATGGTTTTGATCCAACAACCCAGTATCATCAAGCAGATCTAACACATATTTCCTTTGGGAGAGAAATATTCCTTTCCGAGAGCGAGCAACTTCAATCCCTAAAAAATACTTCAACACTCCCAAATCTTTCGTGTGAAACTTTTCTTTGAGGAAAGATTTAAGAGCTTCAATACCTACTGCATCATTACCTGTGATTACTATATCAACATAAACAATCAAGAGAATGCACCCAACATTAGTATGCATGAAAAAAACAGTATGATCACACTGACTCCTTTGCATACCAAACTCCATAATCACACTACTAAACCTCCCAAACCAAGCTCGTGGAGATTGCTTCAGGCCATATAGAGACTTTTTCAATTTACACACCCTTCCAGACTCCCCCTGAGCAACAAACCCAGGAGGTTGCTCCATGTAGACTTCCTCAACCAAATCACCATGTAAAAAGGCATTTTTGACATCTAGCTGATACAGAGGCCAGTGGTTAGATGCAGCTAAGGAAATCAAAATACGAACTGAAGCTATCTTAGCTACCGGGGAGAAAGTTTCTGTATAATCAACACCATAAGTCTATGTATATCCCTTTGCTACTAGACGAGATTTAAGTCTGGCCACAGACCCATCAGGGTTCATTTTCACAACATAAACCCACTTGCAACCAACTGCAGTCTTACCGACCGGGAGGGGTACCAAATCCCAAGTATGGTTTTCCTCAAGAGCAGTCATCTCATCCTCCATTGCATGTCTCCACCCATCATGTGCTAAAGCCTGACTCAAAGTGTTTGGAACTGACACAGAATCTAAACGTGATAGAAAGGTGCGAGATGATAATGGTAAATGATCATAAGACACAAAAGATGAAATAGGATTTTGACAACGTCGTTTACCTTTACGAAGGGCAATGGGAAGATCCAGATCATTTGACGAAGATTCTGGTAAGGAAGAAGTATTCACTTGTGGTTCGGGTGGTGCCACTTCATCTCTCGGCCGCCGAGTATACACCTGTGTAATGGGAGGTCTAGAAATAGACTCGACAGGTATGGTAACAGTATATGTAAGAAAGTCATTGTCTTGAGTAGATCCATACCCAGACGACCCAACACCCCCAGTGAACACCATGTTTTCAAAGAAAGTAACATCAGCTGACACTAAATACCTCCCCAAGTCAGGTGAATAGCATCTATAACCCTTCTGAGTACGCGAGTATCCCAGGAATATACACTGAAGAGATTTTGGATCAAGTTTTCGGCGTTGTGGACGAACATCCTGGACAAAACAAGTACATCCAAATATTTTGGGTGGGAGATGAAAAAGAGGTTCAGTCGGATACACTAAAGAATAAGGAATTTGACCTTGAAGGACTGACGAAGGCATCCGATTGATCAGGAAACATGCTGTATGAACAGCATCAGACCAAAAGACTTTAGACACTTTCATTTGAAACAAAATTGCCCGAGCTATTTCTAACAAATGACGATTTTTCCTTTCTGCCACTCCATTGTGCTGAGGTGTATACGCACACGAGGATTGATGAACTATCCCATGTTGGCCCATATAAGTGGAAAAGGGTTTAGAGAAATATTCTTGTGCATTGTCACTTCGCACACACTTAATAGTTTTATTAAACTGGGTTTTGATCTCAGCACAAAAACTACAAAAAATTGTAAACAACTCATCTCTAGATTTCATAAGATATAACCATGTACACCTAGAGAAGTCGTCCACAGAGGTTACGAAATATCTAAACCCATTCTTCCCTGTGACATGACAAGGACCCCAGACATCAGAATGAATAAGTTCAAATACAGATCGTACTCTTTTATTGACACGAGGAGGGTAGGAAACCCGACAATGCTTAGCAAACTCACACGACTCACACTGCAAAGTAGACAGTGATTCTAAGCTAGGGAAGAGTTTCTTTAGGACTGACAGTGATGGGTGACCATATCGACAATGTAGCTGGAAAGGAGAGGTATCACTCAACATGGCTTTGGATGGAGATATAGACTGTTCTAACACATACAGTCCTCCGACTTCCTTCCCCTTACCAATAATCTTCTTCGTCAAAAGATCCTGAAAGAAACAATAACCCGGAAAAAATGAGACAGAACAATTCAAAGACCGTGTGATCTGGCTAACAGAGAGCAAATTAAAGGGAAACTTTGGAAGATATAATATAGATGACAAGGGTAATGATGAGGCTGCACCAGCACTACCTCTTCCCAAAACTGGAATGGATGACCCATCTGCTAGAGTAACCATAACCCCAGGATTAGATGGAGAATATGTGGAAAAAACCTTAGAATTACTTGTCATATGGTCACTAGCTCCAGAGTCAATGACCCACTGTGTAGACGAAGAAGACACACGCAACAGGATTACCTGTTTGGACAAAGGTTGCAGAAGAAGACGGTTGACTGGATTGAAACTGAGATGGAGACTGCATAGGAGAAGACATTTTCAGTTGATTGAACGCTGCTAACTCCTCATCTGTCATAATTACCATATGTCCTTCAGATCCGGAGGTTGTGTTAGCAAACCTTTGTTGCCTGGGTAATTTAGGACATTGATTTTTGAAATGGCCCGGTTCTCCACAATTGAAACATACCCTTGGTCCTCCACGACCTCCTCCACGGCCTCTTCCACCACGTCCTCGTTGGTGACCACCTCCACTTCGACTATTATACCCTTCATTAGTATAATTTCCTTGAGATACAAACACACTTCCATCACTATTGCTCCCTTGTGATATAAAAACACTCTTCTCAACCGGTTCATTATTGTCAACAGTTACTGCTGCATTTTGTATCTGAGAAAATACTTGGTCCAACGACCCTAATTCCTTGTTTCCCAATAATTGTGACCTAAGAATCTCATATTCTTTGTCAAGCCCAGAAATCCAACTAAAAGCAATTAACTGATCACGTTGTTCTTTCATTGTTTTCACATCAGTTGTAATAGGCATTGCAGTGCATAAAGCTTCACTTAAGCTTTTAAAATCATAATAGTAGTCTCTCAGATCTCGACCTTTTTGATTAGGTCTATAGACATCTTGAGACAACTGATATAATTTTCCCAAATTACTTGTCCCACTGAACCATTCAGATACTAACTCCCACACTGCTTTAACCGCGGTACAATGTTGCATTGATAAAATCACCTTTCTATCAATACAATTAATTACCCGTGATAATAAAGCTTTATCATCTATTTCCCATTCTTTATTATCTGCAGGGCAATCTTTATCTAAATGGTCACCTTTACCCATTCCATCTAAATTAATTTTAGCCAAGAATTTCCATTCAGCAAAATTAGACCCATCAGCAGCCAACATTACATCAATTAATTTAGATGGAGTAGATACAACAGTAATATTCTTATTACTTCCTTCTGCCATGACTACCTATTCACGTTGATGCTGTTACAAATTAATAGATAGAGCACTATTTGGAGACTTCTGGAAGCAGTGATTCAACAACCCAAAAACTTAAAGCAACAATGAACTGCTTATTCACGTTCAACCTAGCTTCGGAAACCCTAAGTGCAATCATCCACAAACCAAAACTCCACACAACATACCTGGGCAGAGCCTACTCCTCACGGCGAGTTCCCCGGAGTAATCGCCGTCGTCGATGGTGGCCGGAGAACGCCTCACGCGCCGGCGCGTGGCGTCGAAGCAGCTGGACAACGGCGGCGCGTGGTGGCGCGTGGAAGCTCTGATGGCGGCGCGGCTTGAGACCTGGCGTCGCCTCCTCCTTCCGATCAAGGCCCACTACTTCACTCTCGCCGACTCTGATACCAAGTTGCTAGAAAGAAGGGACATCAACTGTGTTTGTTCTATTTTCTGTGTTTTCTTCTTCCCTGCTACACTTAGATATATATACTACTACAATGGACTGTTTTACAACTCTTCACTTCCTAGTCTATTTAATTCTATGCCTTTCCATCTTCTATAACTGTTTATATCTAACACATGCTACCAATTAAAGCAGAGCTTCATGATTGCATCAAGATGGGCAAGTAATAGGGTGAAAAGTATCTATGTGTACTTAATCGGTATAAGCATTGACCTGCAGGATTGCATCAAGAAAGGAAGAAATAATAAACGGGAAATTCTGATGGAAGTGTCAGAATAGGAGCATCCTACAACACTATGCTAGTGGAGAACTGGAGCTGACGTAAAATGTCTGACAAAGAAAGTAGCTGCCTCTGAAAGATCAAATGAGTCTTCAATAACATAGGCAATTATCAAGCAAAAATTTATGATTTCATATTCTACTTGTCTGGTTCAGTTAACAAGGCTTGACTGAAGTTATTTTTAATTCAATTTTTCATAATGTTAAGTTTAGTATTAGTACATAAATTTATATATTTAGAAACTACATTAAAAGTACTATTGAACACACAAAAAAGAAAAATCTCATTTAAAAATAATTAAAAAATGCTAAAGAAAATAAGCAAAGAATAAAGAGTTGGTTTGATTAATGGATAGTAAACAGGGCAGGTAAAATGGGCCAGAGGGAGTAGTACATCATATTGACAACATACTGGAATTTCGCCATCTATAATATGAGTAGAAAATCAATGAATATTAACAATCTAGTGTTTACAATTTCAAGTGCACAAAATGCACTGCCTACAAATTTATAATGCACATTGCACAGAATGGTGACAAAATGATACAGGCAAAGATGCTTTATAATATTCATTTCATTAAGAAAAAACATTCTTTTTGCTCACTCTAGGTTTCCTTTCACTTGTAACATTAAAATTACTGAATAAAATGTTAATGGTACATAAAATATATAAAACCTTTCAAGTTTCCAATATCTTGTCCACACTCTATATAGCATGATATTAGATCCTTTAATGCAACTTGCACTTTTGCACAACTTAAATTTACATCTGCAAGCGTACGAGGAAGACTTAATTTTTCTCATTCCTACCAACGGTAATCACTTAAAAAAGCGGAAAACTGGAAAATTTTCGAAATTTTCCTGATCCTTAAACCCTAAGTTGATACTTTAAACCTGCTGTACCACCTTGAACAACTAGATTCTTACAGGTTTGAGTAACAGCATGATATGATTAAGGAAATATCTTTATTATTAGAATTGATTTATTATCCTTACTATTAGAATTGATTTATTTCCTATAGAGATAGGAAATAATTATGGTAAGGAGCTTTAATGATTCTCCTTTCCTTTTTATGTTTTAGTAGTCTTCCTTTCCTTTTTATGTTTTACTAGTCTTTGTAACCCTCTTATATAAAGGGGATTTTCATTCTAATAAAATAACAAGCAAGAAAGAAGTTAAGTTAAAATCAAGAGGTGGGAAAACTCTCAAAACATTCCTATTATCTTTGTTCCTTAAATTTATCCCTCAACATAGACATCCCCAATAACCCTAATCGCCCTTTGACGCGTGCTTTCACCCGAGAACATAACACAGCAGATGAGAAATCAGAACAAAAGACAGATGAAGAAAAGATAAATACACAAATAATGGTTTGTATCAATAAAACAGATATTTCTAAAACAGGTGTCATAAGAAGAAAACACTTTATTCAGGTAATGAAAAGGTAAGCCACAGGACATGATTGAAACAGCTCATTGGATGAGATTTTCAAACCTTTTCCACCAGTGTCAGCTCCGGGGAGAGGTTTTGAGCCACAACACGCATCAGGATGTCCTTAGAACTGCATAGCATTCCCAACAGACTGGCATTAGAAATCCTTCAATCATAATACTGGTAGCAAATGTACAGGTTGGGTGGGTAAAAAGGAGTCGAAAATAAAATTTAGGTGGCTTTCAACTCACCCAACTTAAGTATGACTTATTTGGGATATGACACATTTTTTACTCACTATAAAATTTTAGCGATGTATATTAAAGCTTGATTATTCATGAAAATTCAGATTCAAATATTACTAGATAAATAATATGATGATATTTTGAATATGAAATAATGTTTTGAGTTAATTTCATATCATTTCCTCTTATAGCACATTTTTACCCCCTCTAGAAGTAGGTCAAATTCAACCTGCCCAAATTGCCACCTCTATATGAACCAGAAAAAGGGATGACATCCCCTTGATATAAATTCAAGTCATGAGAACTGCAAAATGTAGTATATTAAGAAGTTTGAGGAAACAAAAAGATTACGTTAGTATCCCCTGAATCTTGTTCCCAGTTATAACTATGACTGAATTAACCCGCAACTCACGCATCTTCTTAGCAGCAACGTGCACGGGATCTGATGGGAGTACCATTGCAACCCTGATATCATTAAAAGCTACAAACTTAATCATGCAACAACAATCAAAAGAAAATTTACATCCTCAAAATGAGAAGCGAAGCAGTGAGAAAGTTCAACTTTTTACTTGGCATTTTCAGAAATGATTGTTGACAAAGCGGGTTTGAACATGCGCTCCCTAAGTATTTCGATGAAAGCAGATGGAGCTGGATAAAAACAATGGCAAAGCAAAACAAAAGTTACACATGACCAACCATATATACAATAATACAAAATATAAGAACAATAACAGATCTTAGAAATTTTTGTGAAATCATGAATGAATTTTGTATAGACAGCCACATAACTAACCACCAGATAAATTGTTTCCCCATTGACGTTCCACTCCTTCAACAGCTGCTGCAATGGCACTTCCCTGCTCTGCAGCCTTCTCCATTCTTGATATAGCATCATAAAGGCATTTTGTGATATCCAACAAGGCTATCACTTCACCATTTTCAACAACAGGAAGGTGGCGGAATTTCCCTATAACAATGAGATGAAAAAGAGGGGTGAAGAGAAAACTCAGCAAGAAACATAAGAGATACAGATGAAAATTAAAACGGTTATCTGTATAAAATTCAATTCAACTTAAAGCATCAATAAATCATTGTATATCAAATAAGTGGTGGAAGTTGGAATCTAGTACTAAAACCATGTAACTATCTGTTACAAAAAATTAAATCAACCCATCTCTTTCTGGCAGCCACCTAACATCTCAATTCCCACATGCCTCCAAGTGCCACCATAAGGTCCACAATAACAGCAGTTATCACATTAATACATTATGCATGAGAACTTCCCTGCCAACCTTTTCCAGCAAAACTTTCCAATTTGATTCTCTGGCCTTTTTCACACCCTTTCTAGTCCCTGATGCATTTTGCTGGCAGTGTCAATGTTGTCAGTCGACAAAAAATTCCATGAAAATTGTTTCTGATGGATAGACCACCTCTACCAAGAACAGCAAGAATTCACATGGATCACAAAATTTTCATTCTTGGTCATATGCAGTTGAGTTCTGATTTATGAGGTAAGGAATCGTTAATCACTCAAATCAAGAGCTCATTGAGATTTCAAACTACAAAAAACCTGTATGGGAATATTTTGATTGGCAGCTGTTGATCATTTAAATTAGGAGCTTGATAAATTTAAATCAGTAGCTGTTGAACATTTAAATTAATTCGGTGTTTCATCATGGTTTTACACTGATCATGCCTAGGACTATTTTGCCAAAACCTTTTCTGCATTCTTATCTTTACCGGGAATCCTTCATGAGTCTTCCTATCTGGATACTCCTCAACAAAATGGGGTTGCTACTTAGTTGAAATAGGTCATACTGTCATACAGCCATACCAAGCTTCTTCGATAGAAGTCCCTCATCATTTCCGCCTTTCTGGAGTGATTCCATCCTTGACTAATGCTATCTTATCAACTGCATCCTTTCAACTGTTCTGCATCGAAAAATTCCTCATAACTTTGCTGTGTTCCCAAAAATCTGTATATAAGCTTCCATTATGCATCTTTGGAGGTACTTGCTTTGTAAGGGATCTCTCGAGGTCAGGATTAGTTTTTAGCTAAATCTCTCAAGTATACATTTAAGGGCCATTCTCAGCTTCAACAGGAATATAGGTGATACTCTCCTAATTACAGAATTTATACATGTCTGATGGTGTGCACTCTTTGAATCTACACCATTTTTTTCCACTAATTCTAGATACTACTATACTGGATATGCCATACTACCAGCAATGATAAATTTCCCTTACCATCCTATGCTGAACCATCCTTGCATCCTAAATTTACTCCATCCTCTTCTCCAACAACCAGTATAGCATCCTCTTCAGACCCTCTTATATCTCCATTCCAATATGCATTCCAATGTCATTCCCGACCTCCAACCAACAACAATTCAGTGGAGGATAGTGCTCAACCGACTACCAAATCTCGTGTCATGTCCAACTGTAGTCCTTGATCTAGTTGCTAGTTCCCCTATTGCTACTCAAATAGATAAAAAGTGTTACTCAAATTCCTTACCCTATATATTTATTGCCTTTCTCCATTGTATTATGATTCCATCTATTTTTTGTCTTTTTGCTTTCATTGCTAAGTTACTTTGGGAAGCAATGTCTCATTCTGGGCCACGGCAGGCTAGGGCTGATGAAATAGCCTCCCTTCTTTCCTTCAATGCTTGAGAATTGGTTGATTTGGTTCCTTTACCTAGTGTTTGGCTTTCAAAGGGTATGTATAGTTAAAGTTGGTCTTGATGGTCTAGTGGACATGCTTTAGGATCGTTCATAGCTAAGGGTCACACTTAGATCTTTGGTATCAATTATACTTGTACTTTCTTTCCTATGGCAAAGATAGCTTTTGTTCAACTCTTTCTAAGGTTCCTAAACAAGTTATTTAACAACATTCCTTTCATGTTTGACTTTCTAAAAGTTTGGAATAGAGTTTGATTTTACCACACATTTTGAGATGTCCCATAAAGGAATTTCACACAAATTACTATTGGAGAAAAATACAATAAAGTGTCCATAAATCATACTTTCCACCCCTTTCAATAAAAAAAGGTGTTGAAGCCTTTATAAAACAGAAGATGCAAATGAAAAATAATGATACTAAGTGTTGGAAAACTAACAGCAGACTCATGCTGGAATTTCAAGTGTCATTGGGTTAGTAAGTCCCTTAATTAACATGGTTTATAGTGATGAGACTCCCATTGCCTAGATATGCATATCTGCCTTGTAATCATTCAATCTATCAAAGTAATCAATCAACCAGTCTACTATCCTATCTCATCTCTTCCTCTATAGTAATTATATAGTTTATTACTTTATTTTAATTGCTTAACATATATAGCTTCTGCCTTACTGTCGCTTGATCACTATTTGCTATTATTGGACCTTCCAACTCGTTAATTCTTAACACTAAGCTCTGATATCTATCAACTTAATTTATTATCATACGAACATATGATCAATACATGGTATCTAAGAACATAGAATTTTGTCTCAAACGTCCATCCACCAAGTGGAATGAAGTTAGAAGAAAATAAATAAAAAAAAAAAAATAAGTAGTGATCGGTTGTAATACTATAAATGACAAACATTTATACCAAAGTAAACAATTTTCATTTTGCATCTAATTATCAAATGCAATAATGAGCTAAAAGAAAATTTTAGCTAACTAAACATCTAAATCATTAAAATTAGGTTAACAAGGTCAGTCCTCCCTGAAACTATAACTAATGAAGAAAAGTCTATGATGATGGTTCCATGAAGACTGGCAACACAAAAAGTATTTGATAAATTCACTAACTGAATAAGTGATAGCGCTAAGGTATTTCTTCTAGAAGCTAGATCAAATCAAAGAAAATAGTAACACCTACTAGAACAGCACTCTCTTGTAGAAGGGAAGGGTCAGAATGTAACCTTGGACCATCTTCTGAAGTGCCTCAATAGCCAGTGAATCCGAATTTACAAAAATAGGGTTCCTTGTCATGACCTTTGAAACTACCGTCTGCTCAGGCCTCAGCTCCTCAGCTATAACCCTGGTTGCAATATCCTTTCAGATAATAGAAAACACAGAATGCAATGTTAGTAATTGAATGAAGAGTCCTTTAAGTTTTCAAATCAATGATTCAATCCAGAGGCCCACCCTTGTTGGTAAGGGGCATATGAAGGTTTTTTCATTTACTTATGCTTCCCACAATATTAAAAAAAAAAAAAAAAAAAAAAAAAAAAAGATAAATCAAAATATTTTTTTTAAAAAACCCACACACTTGATTCAGAGGGAAGGGAAGTGATGTCATGTTTTATAAATCTGTTTAGAATTTTTTTCCGAATCTTGAAACCTTGCCAATAAGAACACCATTAGCAAAAACTAAAGAAGCGGATTACTATAAGTAAACCTTGTCAGTGACAATGCCAGAGAGCAAAGCATTGGTGTCAGTGAGTAGGACAGCATCCACACGCCGTGCTGCCATACGGCGACAAGCATCCGATACGGTGGTACCCTCTGGAATTGTCAACGCCTTGGACAGTCTCAGCTTCTTGACCGTTCTCTCCCCACTGAAAGGCCTATAAGTAGAAAAGAGAACAAATTTACATATAGAAAAACATTTGTACCAATCATCTCCTGCCTGAGTCATAACAGCAATTAGAATGTGCCGGACAATGGTTAATTACAAACTAAACTCTGAGAATTTAAAAAGAAAAAAAAAACACTACTTTGGTAAATTGTTTCTGTTTAAGAGGAGGGAAAACAGAGAAATAAACATCAATAACTAGAAACGCATAGATAAGTATTTACTGGTGAGCAGGAGAAGAGGGTTTGGCGTTGGTGCCATTAGAGGTGGCGGTTCCATTCTCAGAAGGAGTTGATGATTTCTTGCCAGTTGAGGAATGGCGGTTCTTCTGCACCAAACTGTTCCGTCTTGGCGGTGGAGCCGCCGCCGCCAATTGACTGCTCATATTTCTTCGTGCTCAAAAGTCAAATCCCCCTTCCCTTTCACTTCTTTTGCACCACCTACTCCACTATTTACTCAGATATATACGTGCATGTGACAGAAGAAGACGCAGGAATTGGATGAGCAGAATTTGGGTCTGCCCTAACCCTAAATTCCCTGAGATTTCTTCCCTTCCTTTCCCTTTTGTTGACTTGGAAATTGGAATTACACGGAGCTGAAGAGTTGGTGGAGACGAATTTCCTCTGAACTTTCTTTTTTCGTTTTAAATCTCACTATCTCAGGTTCAGTATTTTTCAATTTTCGTCGACAGTAGAGAATGTTTGGAAGAGCTTTTCAGAAAAAGAAAAAAGACGATTTTGTTATTTCTGGACCAAAATCGGAGTTAAGCCTTTTGCCCTTTGATCTGTGGGCAAGTGTCTTTTCCTTATTTTTCATAAATTAATCTGTGATTTTATATTAAAAATAAGATTTGGCGTGTATGCATAAGGTTAATGCGTTCCAAAAGTTTACTTTCTGTGATGAGCTTCTAGCCTTCTAGTGCACTAGTATAGTATTGTTTGATTTACTTTACAGTTTTATTCAGTTCATTTTGAGACGATTTAGGTAGTTTTGAAAGTTTGAATTTTTTTAAAAAAAAATTAGAAGGTGGAAAAATTATTCTTATGTGGAATTTTTGATTTATGAAAGTTTAGGTCAACTATGAATTAGATTACTTAAAATCAAGTCCAACCTACTTTTTTTTCTAATGTCACGAGAAAAATATAAGACTTATTCAATTACACTAGCATTTTGTACATGTGATGCGTAAAAATTCATACCTAATATTAAAATATGGAAAAACGTACAAATAGACCACGAACTATTTGACAAACTACAATTAAGCCATTGAATCCCAGAAAGCTCCAAATCAATCCACGAACTCGGAAAATTTTGCAATTAGCATTTTTAGCTGGTAAATGTCCAATTTTCACTAATTAGATTGCCATGTGTGATTTTTGTTGTTATTGTTATTATTATTATTATTATTATTATTATTATTATTATTATTATTATTATTATTATTATTATTATTGTTATTATTGTTATTATTGTTATTATTGTTATTATTGTTATTATTATTATTATTATTATTATTATTATTATTATTATTATTATTATTATTATTAGGAATAAGGTTCAAATTGGCCACTGAACGTAACCTGAAAATGCAATTAGACCACTGAACGAAAAAAAAAAAAAAAAAAAAAGTGCAATTAGGCAGTAACACTCCAAATGTATGCAATTGTACAAAACTATACTAATCTAGGTCCTTCTATTCGCTCTCAGCAATCATCGGTCGGACCTGAAAGGGATTAAGTAAAAAGTATACGAAAGCAACCTGTTAGCACGAATGCTAAGTATAAACCACTCCAACCTGTAAAGTACATGTAGATATAGATTTGAAAATAGGTGGTTTTACACATTAGCACATTGGGTCAATCAAGATCATATACATAAGTCAAACAGGTTCACAAGTACGTATAAATGTACATATTCAAGAATAAGGTCTAACTCATAGGTAAAACTCATAAACAAGTGTAACTCGGTTTAACTAAGTAATTCAAGGGATAACTAAAATGGCATACAAACATGTGAATTTCCAAGTCATGGCAAGATGGTATAACGATATAATCAGCATAACATTCATGATCAAGAATCAAGACAATCCGACAATAACATGAAGAATCAAATAAGTCAACTCTAGCCATGAAATCAATATCATAGACTCCTTCAAGGCACAATGGTAATATATATATATATATATATATATATATATATATATATATATAATCGTATTGCGGGGTTATCATACTTTCCATGAACCGTACTCATCTCATCATATCATCAATCTCATCATATTATAACAGTGGGGAGGTAGGAACTTCACCATGTGTGAATAAACCTATCCAGGCTCAGGAATTCTCAACTGGCCTAATCAACGTCTCACCCACAAATCTCATAACTAATATGGAAACAAGACCGCTATCTTAAGTGTGCACACTCCCTAACTGTGATTCTAAGCCCAGCGAGTAATAGCTCAAGCCCCAAAGTGAACCTAGAATTTTTCTACCAAGCCACTTTTTATACACATAATTTCGGGAATTCTCCATCGGCTTTCATTTCATCATTTTCCAGGAATTCTCCACTGACTTTCATTTCTGTTAGGACTTATGTTTACAGTAGACTAGAACTCTGTTCCTTTACATGATAGACTAGGACTCTAGCTCTACTTATCATATATATCCTTTGTAATATTATTCAGTTCATTATCATTGAATACAATCACACTCATCTGTATCATCAGTCCCGGGTTCTTTATCTTTTATTTCTTCCCGATGGATGGTCAATCTAGCAACGCTGGTGTTTCCTCTGAGCGTACCCTCATGGCTCGGGGAGTCCCGACTCCTACGGCAAACCTTACCTTGTCAGTTGCTCACCATTTTGTTTCAGTGAAGCTTACATCTCACAATTTTTTGTTTTGGAGGACTTAGTTGGTTCCCTTTCTCAGTAGCCAAGGTTTACTTGGCTTTGTTGATGGCACATACCCCTGTCCGTCTGTCGTTGCTGCCCCTTCCCGAGGTTGACTCCAGCGTAACTGACTCATCGGCCACTCGTGCGACGTGGATTCAGCAAGACCAGGCAGTCCTTTCGATGCTGATCTCTTCTCTCTCGGAGGAGGTCATGCATCTTGCGGTGGGGCGGTCTACTTCTCGCCAGGTTCGGCAAGCAGTGGAGCGTGCTCTTGGGTCAACCACTCGTGCTCGGACTCTCCTGCTTCTTGGGCAACTCCAGAACCTCTGGCAAGGTAGCGAGTCCGTCGCTGATTACCTCGGTCCTGCGCAGGTCATTGTCGAGGATCTGGCCTTGGCGGGTCATCATGTTACATTAGACGACCAGAATTTATATGTGTTTCGTGTCCTACGATCGGAGTATCGACCTCTTGCAGCGACTCTCACGACCGGTGAACTGGTCACTCTCACCGAGCTTGCAGATTTTTTGGTTGCGCACGATTTTGTGTGTGCGGATGATGCTGATGTTGGGGGAAATCCGTCTGGTCCAGTAGCAATGGCCGTGCAGCGTGGATGCCGGACTGGTGGACGGAACGGACGTGAGCAGTGCGGTCGTGGTGGCGGCCGTTATATTCCCGCGTTGTTAGCTTTGCAACGCTCAGGGTCACACCGCTCACACCTGTTTTTAGAGATATGCTCAGGATCCGGCTCCTCAGGCTCACATGGCTTTTCAAGCAGGTGATGTTGGTTTACCGGTGTGACAAATCAAAATTTAATTTTATAAATTTGGTTTTTAAGAAATTCCAAAATAGCCATTTTCACTCTATAAAACTTTTTGCGATGAAATCGGTGTTTGAATAAATTATTTTGAGCCACTTTTAAGTAAATTCTACACCGGGACTTATTTTAAAAATCTAAAATCCTAAATCCTCGGGTACATTGCGTACCTAGTTTTTGATCCAAAAGTCAATCTGAGTGAAACCGGGAAAAATCAGAGAAACATAAACGAAGTGGTTGTCTAGGAAGTATTTTTGGACAAATTATCTTTCAACCCCGAACTACCTTAAATATCAATTCTAGCCCATGATCCATGGAGTATGGTGAACCACACCACTCCAAGAGCTTTGTCTGATGCAACTTTCTAGCCAAGCTTTTACCATTTTTCCCTCCACCAATCATGTTGATTCACCTAGGGTTTGAGCCACCATAAAATGAATAGTTAGCAGACATTTGCCTCTTGATTCCACTCTTTGCTTCCCCAACCATTTTGCTCTACACACAAAAGTCCCAATAAGTTTCTCTAAGCTCTAGCCTTCCATTTCTTCATGTTTTCTTAGCTTTCATCTCTGAGGTTTTAGTCCTTCAGGTTGTTGTGTGGTTTGTTTGAGGTGTCTAGGAGGTGAAAGAGGTAGTAGCTAGCTTGGGAAGAAGGTGGAATCCCAGCCAAGAGAAGAAGTCTACAAAGGTATAACCCCATGGACTCCCAGTTTAGTTTTGGCTCTGTGAAGCCACTGTGAAATAACTAGAAATGAGTGGAAATGCTAGAATGTTGTGTGTTTGAGCTATTGGATGCCTTGTTGATGTTGTATGATGTATTGTTGATGTTTTGAAAGTGGAAAATTGCCTGGTTTTGCATTACAGGTGAAGAAGGAGCCACTGGTGCACCTCACAGTGTGCACCAGTGGAAGTCACGGGCCTAGCCAACGGCCCACGTGGGGAGACGTTGGCTAGAGCCGTGGCTGGACAGCCCTAGGGCACGGCCCTAGGCAAGGGCCGTGGCCCTAGGCCGCCGCTGGACGGCTCCAGGCGGCGGAGCTTCCCTAGCCCGCCCGCCGCTAAGACCGTTGGTGGCTACCTGTTCAGTGGCCGAGCCCTTGTGACTCAGCTACGTGTCGTTTCGGATCGGGTGTCATGGGCCCTTGTGGCTCGGTACCTTGGGGCCGTCATGACGCACGTTTGGCCTTTGATTTCGTTAAATTTGGATTAGAAATGAGTATGTTATGATAGAAATTGTGATGAAATGATTTACAAAAATGCTAATATGAGTTCATCAAACTTGCACTGCCTATGGGATTGGCTTGTTATTATCTTCCTGATGCTATTTGAGTATTAAATAGAGAAGCATGAGCATTTTGTGAATGAGAGTTGTTAGAGAAACATGACTAGAATGTGTTTTATGTTCAATGGAAATTATAGTCTATTTTGATGGTAGAAATGTACAGAGTATGTTATTTTGCAAACCAAGCATGATTGTGTGTTCTTTGAGAGTTCACTGTGATATATAGATTTGAAGCATGTTGTACAGTAATTTACATTCCAAGCATACCATGTTTTATTAGTGCATAAAGGGTCAACGTGAGCCTAAGTATTATTTTCCAAAATTCATGAGCATGTGGTATGTCATTACCTTGTTGCATTGAGAAGTTGTTGAGTTGTGTCATGCATAAGTTTTGTGCATGAGAGATATACATATATTATCTATCTATAAGTGAGGTTTTGGAGGACCCGTTGGGACTGTGTCCTTTCAGAGTAAAAGAGAAAGTAACGGACATTGAGATCCGATGTTTTGTAACGCGGCGTATTCCCACGTTACGAGGTTGGAGACTGCCCGCCAGGATTGGAATCCTGGTTAGGGGGTGTGCACACTAAAGTACGATACCTAATTCCACAGAGTTTGAGCATAGAACCAAGAGAGTGGTTCGGTGAGCGAGTTGAGTATGTGGCCGGCTAGATTGCCGAGCCAGTTAGGTCCATTCACGATTCGTGGAGACCTACCTCCCCACGAGTTAGAGGTTCCGTAGTTACGGATGTGGCGGATGC